ATTTTAATACACAACTTAGTGATGATGTGAATTATACAGGCTCCATAGGCCTCTTGTTCCTCCAAACTAGACCTAACTACTTTCAGAGTTTTTCAATAGAGTTTCAAAATTTATATATAACTTGTACTGTTAAAACAGAAATTCAGATTTTATTTTTAAAATTCCTTGTGATAATTAGTCACCGTATTTTTTGTTCAGATTTGAGGAAACATTTCGATAATTGGAGCAATATTAATCTTAATCCAGTTTGGGCAATGGTCTACAATGTCATAGCAATCATATAGCAATACCTTGTAGGCTAACATTGGAGTAATTAATGGGCTGTGTTTTTCATTTTGATTGTGTAGTAAATTTTGAAATAAATGTATCAATTCACAAGAATTGGTGAATTTGTATTTTCTACTCATTGAGTAATGAGCAAAATAGGTCATTAAATGGCAATAAAAACTGTCCTAGTCTGTGAGTTATAAATTACCCTGAAATGTACTAGTTTACGTGCAGAATTCTACTTTTCCCAAGAAGATTAGTTTCATGCTGTGTTATTCCTTTATTTGACCAATCAATATTCTGTCAATTTTGGCATCAATGTTGTTGTTTTTTGGGGAGGGGGGTGGGGTAGTCCTGGGGAGGGCTAATATAGAAGAAGCAATGAAGACAAAAAGTCAAAGGATATGTTCACTTGATCCCCCTATCTTGTGTTCAGCAAACTTGATCCATCATTCGAATGCAGCTATCTGCAGGAATTATTCACAAGTACAAGTATTATTTAACCACATTTAGCAGGAAAAGTTTGGTTAATATGGTATTTATATCAAATTGGCCATCCATGTTTTGATGAATATTCTGATTTTTATATTAATTGCAAATAAATCATATAGGACATTAAGTATGATTTTAAACAAAAACATTGAAAATAAAAAATAAAATAAAAAACTATCACAAAATGTAAGAAAAAGATTTTAAGTGTACTTTTATAATTAGAAAAATGTACAGTTATAATTAGCAGTAACACCAGTAGATGGGAGGTCTACATGAAATAAAACATCTTAGTACAAATAATACAATGGTCAGTAAAAACAATGTATTGAGAGAGAGAAAATATGCAATAACTATAATTACTACCATTTTAATATAACCCTTTTGTTATTTAGTTTTATATAGCATTTTGAAATATTATTTTAGTCTGCCACTTGATATTGAATCTATTTAGCATATTAATTTATGATAGGGTGGCTATCTTGCTGGGTATAAATGTTTAAGCGGGTTTTGTGATGGATGGTTGCAAATATACCATGTGACGAGACTCAACAGCTGAATATTATCATAATTATTGTAAAAAAGGAATTATCTTAAATTTTTATGATTTAAAGTCCACATTTTCCTTGAAAGTGTTCTGTTGTACAAGGAGCAAATAGGATGATTTTTTAATGACAGTAAAACTGGATTATGATCTTGTAGTGCTGATGAGTATTAATATATCCAGTGCAGGTGAGTTTCCCGTTCAGTTGACACAAGATCTGATTTTACACAAGGACGTGCTGCCGTTTATGTGCGTACGACAAGGCAGAGTTTCGTATGTCAGATGGTAAACAACTGCACATACATCTCCGTACGATGTATCTAGATAAGACGTAGAAAAAAAAGCCCGCCTCCTTGAACATCAGGCTCCCATTTAAAGTGTATTAACACCTGGTTAAGGTATCCACATGGCCTGTTGCAGGTGAGAAACCCCCAGGTGTTGTTGTACCTGTCGGGTAGACCACGGACAATAGCAGGTACATTGCATTTTGCATTTTTATAGTCACATGCCAGGAGCGGTGTCTTTTGATTGGTAGACGGAAAGCACTGGTGAGAGTTAATGATACAACGACACACTTAAAAGTTCTCGGCAGTCGTGCCTTTGTCACGTGATTTTCCTCAGATGTTTCACCAACATCGCCATAGTATACATATAATACATAGCTTTTTAATGTGTATCGCTCTCTGGAGTCGTATAACGCGTTAGGTCACACAATTGTTACCCGCCAAGGTGCGCCGGGATATTAAGTCCCAGCACGTACTTTTAAATGTCTACTTTAAAACCGTCTCTCATCGTCGAATGTTTTGTGGTTCCGGGTGGGTAGTGATATGGGTCTACACTTAGTAATTGAATTCAGCTCATAGTCACTTACATCTTTATTGGACATGTGTGTGTGTGTGTGTATGATCTTGTTAGGAGGACGTGAAGACCTTGATTCAGTTTATTGTATTTACTATTAACCTATAAGCGTTCTGGTACATTGACAGTAGCGGTAATGATGAAAGTTTGAAGAGATCAGATACCCTTAATGAACCACTTGGGCACCTGGTGGAAAATGTTTCACTACATTAAAGACAATTTTAACTCTACAAGTTTGCTGCTATCCACCTGTAAGTTATCATTGTGTAAGTTTTTGACTTATGGCGGAGGGAAATAGCGGGAGAAATGTTCTTTATAAAGAGTAATATCACTTTACCTTTTCTGTACGTGTTACCATTACATGAAGGTGATGCTAATTAAAAGTTGTATTACTTCCCCCTGTCTAAAATTTGCATCTATAGAGGTTTTTTTGTTAGACAAAATCAAAATAATTACGATTCCATATTTGGCTCACAAAATATATGGATAATGGACGTAGACACTTTTTGAAAACTATTTAACGTAGTATTGGTGTAAAAAAAGCAGTATCTTAACCTTTTTTTTACATTTTTATAGAGATTGTAGTGCTTGTTTAAAATTAGAAAAAACAAAACAAAAAAGATTTTTAGGGCAGTGGCTGGTTACCCTCTGTACTGTTTTTAATCTTCTTTTCACAAAACTTTCCCGTTCACAAATGTATTTATACGACCAGCCGACCGTATCAGTGAACAGTTTGTGTGGAAAACAAATCGGTACAACACCAACTAAAGTGGCTGTAATGGTTAAATGAAATCAACTGACCATTTTAAACTAATTCAATTTTTTTCAGTTTTACTCAAAAGAAAAAATTAAATGTCACATGCGACATTTAATTCGTGATTGATTCGTCGTTTTAATCTCCATCTTATTTTTCCTAGTGGAAACAAATATCGTAGATTATAGTAGCACTAAGTATTAAATCGAACCAATAACATTTATAATAAAGGTTGACAGACAGGTATGGAAATATTCTCAGGTCAGTTCATACACCCAGACTGTCCAAGTGGTGTCTCTTAATAGATTTGAATCTAGCAATGCAGGCAAACAGCGTTAATTGATTTTTGATTTTTTTAAAGTTTTTTAGAAATGCTGAATTGTGTTAAAATTAATGTGCTAATTAAGGATTTATTGAGGGAATAGATTGTGTTTCATCCTTTGAATCAATAGTTTGATTGCAGAAATACCCTGTATTTAGTACCTGTATGCTAAAAGTATATGACAGTTAAATGCAGATTTTAATCTCGTGGCTAACCTTGAAATATGATGTGTCTGTTGAAATTGTCACTATTAAGACTTTTCAATAAATTTTAGCAAAATTAAATTTAAAATGTTTCTTTTTTTCCTAAAACCAATACAATGTAGTCTGTTTGTGATGCCATTTTGATTCAACAAATGACTGATTTTAAGTACAGATACCGTAGTAAAAGGTAATGGACTTCATAAAAATTTTCAGATCTGCTATTTTGACATGTATGAAAACCACTAAAAGTCCTATGAACACAAGTTTAATTTGAAAGAGCAGAGGAATATTAACTTCACACTCTTGACGTTATCCCCATTGGTGTAATTGTGACCTTCAGCTGTTCTTCTGGATAACACAACGTTACATATTGTTAAATTTATGACCTAGTAGGGGATATTTTTTTCGTTTCTTGATTGATGCATGAGGCAATTATTTCATTAACAGGGCTGAATATTAATGTTTCACCATTGAGGAGCTGAATGAAATCATGAAATGTATTCAACCCACAAGTGAAATGATACATCTGTTGTTATTCACCAGGAAACCAAGAATATTGTACATGTATAACGTTTTTACCAGTGAAATGTACGGTATATGTAATTTTCAATTTGATAAAAAGTTGTATCTTCACATGTGAAGATATAAGGTCCATTATCAATTTCAATCATATTGACCGATCAAAATGTTTATTTTATTTACCGTATTCAAAGATGCAGAATTTCTGTTTATCTATGACTCCATGATAAAATAAGTGGTTATTTTTGTTAAAAGTTTCTATGATGAAAAAAGTCTTAAGGGGTTAAAGATATAATGGACAATCTATTTTACATATTTTAATTTAATAGAAAACAGCATTGGGCTGTCAAGCTACAAGTTGTGTGGTTATAAGCTGCAGTTGTGTGGTCAAGCTGCAGTTGTGTGGTCAAGCTGCAGTTATGTGGTCAAGATGCAGGATTAAAGAACTTTGGAAATTGGAATTTTCATACCTTGTCAGAAAATATATAAACATATTTAATCCTAATATATGTCCCTCTAGATGACACTTAAATATATTGTATATAAAGGTTAATATAGCACAACCAGTGATGTGTTTATGTGTGGCATTCAGAGGATTTTGTCAGCATTAGACAAAGGAAGGTGACTGACAGAAGACATACTAGTCATCAGAAACTTTTACAGCAGTATGTCATATAGTTGTATATTGAATAAACATATGTTCAATTCATATTTAACAACTTGACGAACATTTTATTTGAAAAAAAAAAAAACTTGAATATTCATGATTTTTAAAAATATTAATATTTTGTTTGTTCCAGACCTTCTAAGAAGGCGCTGAAGAAAGCCCAGAAGGAAGCAGAAAAAGCTGCGAAGAAAGCCGAGTATAAACAGCAGAATCAGCCACAACAACAGCAGCAGGATGAGGTAAGGCTGAGTGTAAACAACATAACAAGCAACAACAGCAGCATGATGAGGTAAAGCCGGATAAAAACAACAGAATCAGCAGCAACAACAACAACAGGATGAGGTAAGGCCGGTTATAAACAGCAGTATTAGCAACAACAGCAGCAGGATGAGGTAAGGCTGAGTATAAACAGCAGAATCAGCCACAACAACAGCAGCAACAGGATGAGGTAAGGCCGGGTATAAACAGCAGTATTAGCAGCAGCATGATGAGGTAAGGCCGGGTAAAAACAACAGAATCAGCAACAACAACAACAGGATGAGGTAAGGCCGGGTATAAACAGCAGAATCAGCCACAACAACAGCAGCAACAGAATGAGGTAAGGCCGGGTATAAACAGCAGTATTATCAACAACAGCAGCAACAGGATGAGGTAAGGCTGAGTATAAACAGCAGTATCAGCAACAACAGCAACATGAGGATGTAAGGCTGAGTATAAACAGCAGTATTATCAACAACAGCAGCATGATGAAGTAAGGCTGAGTATAAACAGCAGTATCAGCAACAACAGCAACAGGAGGATGTAAGGCTGAGTATAAACAGCAGAATACACAACAACAAAGAAGAGATTCCTCGCAAAAACACTTTTGTGCATGTTTTTTCAGCTGTTCTAGGGATTGGCTTAATTTTTGGTGTAAAATGTAAAAGCATATTAAATTTCATACATAGCAGTTTTTTATCCTACACAATTGGATGTCAATTAAGTTTGCAAATAGCTCTATAAGTTGTGAGCTGTTAGTGAAGATACAAGTGTATAATTTATTTTGTGTGCTGTTAGTGGGGATACAAGTGTATAATTTTGAAACTGTATATTTACAAACAGAGTTGTGTTTTGCAGGAGGAAGGAGAGGACATATCCAAAGGCCAGTATGGCATGATGGAAATGATCCAGTCAAAGAGTAAACCTGACCGATGTATCGTCGACCTCAAACAGCTGACCCCTGATCTCGGTGACCAGAAGGTTTGGGTCAGGGCAAGGCTGCAGACAAGCAGGAGTAAAGGTGAGATACACTTTTCCAACATAGACTTAGACTCTGAAGGGCCATGTCATGTGACTTTTCATAAAATTTTCCAACAAATCCAAATCAATTGAAGAGATTTTGACCTTTTTTTCCCCCTGGGCCAAGGGAATTCAACGTTGTGTAAAGCAGCAGCAGAGGGGTAAGGGTTCATCTTGTTCTCAAAGTAAAACAACTTATTTTTAACAAATCGGTGCAATGATGATTTCACAAGTTGTCGTTATTTTCAGGCTGATTGAAATCCAAGAGGGCCACCACTTGACCTCCAGTTGATTGAGACATTTTATCCATAATTTCCATTAGTGCAGTTTTGACATAATTATATATATGTCCCTCTCATGGCCTGACTCTGTGTTGGGTTTTGAACCAATTCAGGACATGATATGGGCACCTGTTCTCAGTATGTCTGCAACATTTATTTAACTTCCCAACTTCTACCAAGGCTATGGAAACCAAATTTGATCTGAATAATGCTATAATTGTTCTGAACATGGCTAATCGTGTGATCCTCTGATTTGCTGAATTAGGTAAACAATGCTTCTTCGTGCTGAGACAGAGCAAGTGGACCGTCCAGGCACTGGTCTATGTGGGGGACAAAGTCAGCAAACAGATGGTCAAGTTTGTTGCAGGGTGAGTCATCAGGCTTAATTGTAGAAAGGTTCATGTAGTTCAACGAGCAAAGCGTTTACGTGTGACGTTTTCATGACTAGTAGGGAACCTGTCTTCTTCATCAGACAAATGACCAGTGAAGCGTAAGTAAACAGAGGTATAAAATACATACAAGTTGGTAATACAAAATTGATGTCAATTCGACTATGCTAAAATCGTATTTTAAATTGTATGATATGACAAATCAAATCAACAAATCATTTTGGCTGTATGACACATTACTGGTTGTGCTACATCATGGACCTTTCTACAATCTAAGTTTATGCTAAAATCGTATTTTAAATTGTATGATATGACAAATCAAATCAACAAATCAATTTGGCTTTATGACACATTACTGGTTGTGCTAAATCATGGATCTTTCTACAATCTAAGTTTATCATCATGAAGAAAATGTTTAGGACATTGACAAGTTTATTTTTACCAAAGAGTAATGATCAAGTTAAGTGCAGGGTGAGTTCACAAAGACAATGTTACTGAATGTTTGAGCAGTCGGGTTTACAGGAGAGTTATTAACCACCATCTTGACATATAAATCTGCATGTGTAACTTACATACTCATCAGAGTATTTTAACAGAGTTATTGCCCTTTTATGTACACTTGTTTGGACAACAGTACCCTGATGAGATTTCGTTCAATTTCTTTGGACTTTGGAAGGGATATTCAGCTGTCTCTCCAGCTTACTTTTCCTATAATTCTTTTAGTGAGCTATAAATACATAGGATTGTGGGGATATCTAAGTTAGCTTTCAGTTACAGCTGAGATTTCTATGGTGGAGAGCCAAGAGGTTTATCAAATATTGCAATGTTAGTTAAATTGTTAAGGTAATGATCTTTCCAGTGCCAACTGCCAACACAATGTTTGGTTCAGTTTTGAAATGATACAAAGGGAGATAATCCAGACTGAATGGGCTATCTCTGATGGCAAACCCTTCAACTTTTCAAAACCCCAAAGTAGGTGATGGCCAATGAAAGTACAGGTCATAGCACCACTGATACAGGTCACTGCATGTAACAACACAATGCCATAATGTTATGTAATTAGGCGCATGAAGGATGGAAACTTCCTGTGGTCCATTATGATTTATCTACAAAAAACATTTGAATTCCCTAGGTATGCATTTTGTACGTAGATTAATGGAATCAAATGTTTGAAAAGATTGGTTGATATTTATTTTATAAGTATGGAACACTCCCAGGGGAGAGGCCAATACTTAGCCGTTGTACAGTGTACACCCTAAGAGCTACTGGTGAACTAAGTCTCGGTGTCATGTGGCTGAGCGGTGTTACGTCCAGTAACTAGGACTATAGGAGATTAGAGGGTGACTACTGACATCAGTGTGATGATGTAACTTGAATGTTGTGCCCAGTACCTGCTTGAAAACATGTTATACTCAAAGATAAGAAACAAGTTAACTTCTTTGTATCTGTCTGTTGGTGTAGAGTAACGAAGGAATCGATCGTAGATGTGGAAGCCTATGTACGGACTGTCTCCCAGAAAGTGACCTCGTGTTCCCAACAGGAGGTAGAACTGCATTGTGAACAGGTGGGTAATAGGGACAGACCTTGTATCTCATTACTAACCATGATTCACTCTAAAACATGTTGATTGAGCCAATTCAAACTAAATAAAATGTAGTCCTTGACCTCACCACACTTTTTTTGTGATTGGATTTTCTTTTATCAAGAAAAATTTGCCATGGTATTCATTTCTGTAGTAATACAGGACACACAGTCTTCAAAACATTTTACTCAGGAAATTAATTACTTTTAAAAGTAACAATTTTTGAATTCACCTAATGTTGACCATTAATCCTTTTTTTGTTTTTTGGAAATCAAAATTGTCAGGCTTAAAAGAATCCTGAATAATCATTGTCATTTCTATCCTTTTTAATATATATGCCAGTCAAACAAATTGGTTTCCGCCAGATAACTTGCTTAAATATCATTCACTTCTGATGAAACTTGGTATACATGTACATTATATCAAGACTGAGGCTACATTCCAACTTGAGCACACCTGTACATGATTGATAAGGCTACCTTGCTCTGAACAATTTCCAATTCCAAACTTTAAAATGAGGCTGAGTTCAAAGTTGAGCAAAAAAAACAGTGATCTGATTGGTTAACGGATTCTGCACAATAACCTTGTCAAATATGTCCACATTATGATGAAACTTGGTCAATGTTTATATTACACACGGACAAAGGCTAAGCTCAAAGGTGAGCAAAAGCTGCACAGTATTTATAACCGTACTGCTATTTGATTGGTCGACGGTTACTGCACAACAAGTTGGTCAAATATGACTGGAATCTGATGAGACTTAATCAATATTTACCATTTGACTCATAACAAAATCTGCCAGTAATCAATGAACAATAATTATATCTTTAGTTTTAATGATAAATTGATTATTGGCAAAAAGGGGCAATTTCAATTTCTATACATGTGTATACAAAGGGAGACAATTTCTATGAATATATCAATTTTTAAGAAATGATAAAGGATATATAGGAAATACTTATATTCCTTTCGCTTACGTTGGTCAAGTATATTTTCTCCTTTCACCAAATTCCAGAAATAGTTCTAAACTTAAATGAGTAATACAGTACAAATGTTGATTCTTTTCACATTTACAATGTGGTACTACTCTATAGTTCTGATTTTCAAAAAATACCAAGATAGAGCAGGAATATTCTAATATTGAATGTTTTGTAGTTTTTGAAATGCAGACAAAACTATAAAAAAAAATATAAAAAAGATATACATTGTCTTACCAATTGAACATTGTCTTAAATATTATTTTTAGAAAGGTGAGCAAAAAAAGTTTAATAAACATTGTAGTCCAAACATTTGTATGATGTTATCATGTACATTCCCTGTTACAGGTATGGGTGGTAAGTCCTGCATTACCACGACTCCCACTACTGGTGGAGGATGCTGCACGACCAGACAATCCTGATGATGTGAGTATCTGTGTTACAATCTCTGTTCCATACGTCCTTAAACTGTCACCCTACTAGCTGTTAATAGGATGTTAAACAATATCAAACCAAACCAAAACTCTGTTCCATTGTTGTCTCTAAAGATGGGTGACAATTGGACATTTCAAAAAATATTCTGATGACATGAGTCATTAAAATTGTAATCTCTGTTTGACAATTTGTTATTTCAAAGTAATGTTTGGCATTTAACATTTTGAAAAATCCTGTCTGTTCAGGCTGATTGTTCTGAACATTCTACTGGGAACTCTACGATGGACATTTGTACTGAACAATTCTATACTTCAGGAATTGGCTACAGTCAAACAAGACACCCGTCTGGATAATCGTGTGATTGACCTACGCACCACAACAAACCAGGCCATCTTTCGGTTGGAGGCAGGGGTCTGTAGGTTCTTCAGGGACGCACTGACAAAGGAGGGATTTGTGGAGATACACACACCGAAAATCATTTCGGGTAAAACATTTTACGTGCACAAATTACGTCTTTATCAATGTTTAAAATTTAACAAAATTGAAAAAGAAGTGTGTAGTTAAGTGTCACTTATTCTTTTCTGATGTTTAATTACAGCCGCGTCAGAAGGGGGCGCCAACGTTTTCACCGTCTCCTACTTCAAGAGCAATGCCTACCTGGCACAGTCGCCTCAGCTCTACAAACAAATGGCCATATGTGCAGACTTCGACAAGGTCTTCTCGGTTGGGGCAGGTAAATATTGATTGTTTATGGGAAATAAAAAGAGTGCTTCACATTTGCATGCCGTATTGATTAATTAAGGTCACATTAGCCTATAGTTGTACTCCTGAGCTCTATAAGGAAAAAGGACATTTCTCTTATTTCATACATGTCATCAAACCTAGTATATTACATTGGTACACCTAGGGAAGACCACCTTGATTTTGCTGGCTAGTCGGAATTTTACGAAGCAGTAGTTGGTTGCTGTGACCTGTATCAAACTTTTAACCTCGAACACGGAATAAATCATGTTTGTAGAATTCTGCCATATAATAGTAGTATTTCATGAAGGATCAGCAAATTTGATACTTAGATATATATTATATTAGATAACAATGATCTATAATTTAAACCTTAATCAATTGAAAAACATTCCTGGTGCATTTCTTTTTATACTATTTCATGTATTATCAACATTCCACCCTGAAAACAACCTCATTATAAAGTATCAGAGTGGTTTGGTTACTTATGTTACAGAGAGAGGCTCAAAAATGATTTAACAAAATAGGTCAAAGGTAAAAGTGCAGATGCAAGTGACCCATTTACTGTCCCCGCCAAGATGGTGCACGGTTGTGTGATCCTATCTTTGATAATATGGCAGGGGTAGTCATTATGCCACTGCCTCAAGTTTATTGTTAATTAACAATTTGTTCATTTGAATGACAACCTAGGAAATATCAAGTTGCTGACACACTCTGTATATAATTTAAAAAAAAACAAGAATAGCCAAATTGATCGATATTAAAGTTATAAGTTATAACTTCTTCTTTAATTGTATATGTGTGTTCAGTTTTCCGAGCAGAGGACTCCAATACGCATCGTCACCTGACAGAGTTCGTCGGACTCGATATGGAGATGGCATTCAAGTACCACTATCACGAAGTCATCGATGTTATAGGAAACCTGTTTGTCTCCATCTTCAAAGGTCTTCGCGACAAGTAAGCCATCATTTCATTTTCATCCCCATGATGTAAATTACTATCTATTTTTGCCACATTTTTCAATATCGTATTCTTTTGAAAGTAAATGTATTCAAGATTGATTTATTACATTCATGGAATATTTATAAATTTCCTGTCTTTACATTTGGGGAAAAGACTAAGTCCTGTTCCCAAGATGATTTAGACATTTTCTATAATTATATACCACATTTTGAAAGGAAAATATATAATTTGAATACAAAATGCAATTGGGAAATACCGGTAAAAGTTCATTCAGAGAAGTATGACGAATTCATGTTAAGAATTCACCTCTTTACTTAAAATAATGGATAAATTACCAGTAAAATTTCTGTATGCTGCATGTCATACGTGGATTGTTAGGAACACAGAAGTTTTCTGCTTTGGAAATAACACCTCCCTCATCATGCGAACCTGTGATAAAGTAAATGTTTTTGATTCCAGCTTTCAGGAGGAAATAGAAACGATAAACAAACAGTTTCCTGCAGAGCCATTTAAATTTCTGGAACCAAGGTAAGTGCCCTCTAACGGAAAAGAGATTCACCAATACTTGATGGAGAAAACACATATGCCTTTTCTCTTTCCCTTGGGAAACAAACAATATACAGACACTGATCATAATGCCAGAGCATTGTGTCACTGATGGCAGATGTATATTTGTCTGACCTTAGCAGGTTTTCTTGATACCGTCATAAATGTATACAGCATTGTATATATAGGTGTGTTTCACTGATTAATGATATGGGGAGGGAGGTAATCTAATAGAGGTAGACATTTCAGCCACTTGGTATCACAGCTTTGATGTCCAGAATTTGGTAGTGCCTCTGTTGTAGAAATGAGGTTTGATTTAATTAGCTTTAGAACGGTTTATTGTCCTATTAACAGCTAAGGTAATTTAAGGACAGGCCTCCATGCGTGTAAGGCGTGCGTGAATGCAGTGTATATGCTCTATGAAGTAGCACAGACCTGATGCTGACTTAACCCTTTCACCCCTATGTAACTTTAATAGGCTCTACCGTGCATTGATCTGGGTGAGTCCATTATGGTCTACAGTGGTGAAAGGGTTAAGAGTGCTACATCAATGAAATACAATGCCGGAGGCACCAAGCACAGTATTCCACCCGATCACATTATGCTGACAACAGGTTAATCAGTTGTTGCCATTACCCTAGATGCCGAACCTTAAGCAGGGAGTAACAGTTAGAAATGAGGATTTATTTACACCAGAGGTTGAGATGTGTCTACAATTGATCACACATCGTAATAAATAACGTCATCCCTTGGAGCTGCATGGAAACTTTTTCAGTTGCATGTTTTGTTTCCAAGGTATCCATTTTCACAGTTTAGAATAATTAATTTCTATATTGAATCCAGATTATGAATGAGACTTGCCTACAATATTTTCATTGATGGTTGTGTATTTATAGTTTACGCCTGGAATATGTGGAAGCGGTCCAGATGCTGAGGGACAATGGCGTGGAGATGGATGAAGAGGAGGATCTAAGTACACCCAACGAAAAATTCCTGGGACGCCTCGTTAAGGCAAAGGTGACGAAATAATTGTCCGAAGTATTGAATAACTGATAATAGTAGCTTGAAGGTAAAAAAAAATATCAATTTGAACAATTTGTGAAGAAGTTGTATAGAATCAGGTTTTATACAGTGACCAATGTGTTATAAAATAATCTTGATATGCATTTTTATATGCATCAGATGTTTTCAAATCACCCTTTGTCTGTGGTCCATCCATCTTCCTAAAGAGTTCTAGTTAGTACTATTTCTCAGAATGGACTGGTGTGATCTTTCTCAAATTTCACAAAACGGTTCGCTATTGTGCGTACTTGTGCATAACAAATTTTGGGACTGATAGATAAACTAAGATGGCCGACAGGTGAAAATCTTAAACTTTCAGAGTTACAAGTTTGCTAGCACAATTTCTCAGAAATTCCTGGAGAGATCTTTCTCAGATTTTAATGACAGCACTTCTAAGTTAATGTACACGATAGGATTTCCAACATGTGACTGTGTAATAGTACCTGTAAGAACAATGTAAAGTAAAGACGGTAAAAGACCATCTTTTGTAGATCTGACAAAGATCCTTCTGGTTGGGTGCCAAGATCCTTCGTGGATCTCTTGTTTGGTTTGCAGTTCAGCTGTCGGAGTCTAAATCAAACAGAACTTGTAAAGGTGTACTGTTCTGTAAATCAATTCCTCCGAGTCTGAAGCAAATGAAATAATTTACTTTGAAATTTAAAAACAAAATGGATGAAAATGCTGCTTCTTTCTTAATCTGCCAACGGTAGTTTGAATTTGTATACTTATAAAATGTGTTGTCATTCATTTGTGTTTTTGTGATTGCATAATTATAAGTATATGTTCATGTATGATATAGTGTTTTTTGGTACCATTGCATACTTGCAAACCCTTCCTATTTAGGAGGGAGACTCCCGATTTTGGACCCTCAAATTTAGTATTTTCAACCAGTGAATTTGCTTAACTATTTACTCAGATCTAATGATTTCATCTGAGAGAACAACTGAACTAATGTCATTTTTAAGGGTCATTTAGTCTCTAGGGGGTGTATACACTCATTTTATCAATGTTTTAATTTTGAGCATGCAGAATCTCCCCCATGGAAATTTCGAAAAATTGGCAAGTATGCTGTTGTCTTTAAAATTCTGTAACACCAAACAGTGATTTATACATTTTACTTCCTTGTGTTGCAGTACGACACTGATTTCTACATCCTGGACAAGTTCCCTCTGGCAGTGCGGCCATTCTACACCATGCCAGACCCGAACAACAAGGTACAGCCTTAGTCAGTGTCTCTGATAAAACAAACGAAACAATGTTACACTCTATACACGATCATCTCAACAACTAACAAAGTCAGGTTGTCACAAAACTAGGTTAATAAATGAGAAGATATCCAACGTGTAGGGCGGGGGACAAAGTATTTATGCGTCGTTTGTGGGGATATTGTCATATATGGTTGTTATACTGAAGTATATGTACCAATAGACAGTACACTGTATGGCCAAATGGTGGTATTTCACATTTATACGAAATTTACTTCAAAATTGTGGTGTTTACATTTTATATGAAATGCTCACATTATAATAAGAGCTTCGTATAAACTTTTGATCACAAACTACATTACATTGGACATCAAATTCTTGGTTAATAGAAACTATGTCACTGATTCCCCTAGAATTACTATGTACTTTGCTACTACAATTTCTAGCACTGCCCAACCACGTACTCATTTACAGCTGAGTAGACTGGAACAAGCGGAGTAAGGTATCTTGCTCAAAGATACAACACAGTGCTGTGCCGTGACTTGAACCCGCAACCCTTCGGTCACGAGCCCGGCGTCCTACCACTTGACTACCGTGCCTCCTATATCATGTCCCAATGCCATACATGTATGATGAATCGTTGTTCAATCGATTTCTTTATCGACTAGATATAGAACTTGAACAAGCTTTCCTAATATCCAAATGTTCCATCCAGTCATTCTCAGTGTTTATTCTTAGTTTTCACCATACTCCATGTAGCCTGATATGTCTGGTTTATTTATTTGATACTACATCCCCGTATGGTTTCCAGAAATGGTCCAATTCCTACGACATGTTTATGCGAGGAGAAGAGATTCTCTCCGGCGCCCAGAGGGTACACGATTCAAATTTCTTGATTGAGAGGGCAAAACACCATGGAATAGGTAAGTCGATGGTACCAGTGCCTTGCTATTGTGATACACCCCCATGTACAAGGCCCATGAACTCTGTGATGCGATTGGGTTACAAGCTCTGCTGAGCTCTATGATTGGCTAGTTATGGTATCATTTAAAAATACCACTGTTAACTATATGGTAAGGTGGTGACGCGGTGCAGTTTGTAGTGCTGTAGAAATTGTTTGCCAAGCTTTCACATTCCCTTTCATTTCTATGTTGACCATAATTTTTCAGTGAGGTTATGTCACCGCGTCCCTTTGTTGGTAAAATGTTGTTTCCTCCGTTGTTTGTTTAACTCGTCGACGCGTAATTACCTTGTTTAGTTAGCATTGTACTTTCATTTACTGTCAATGTGAATTCGTCCATGTTACAGATAAAGGGTAAAACAAAATTTAACTAGATCTAATAAACATATGATATACTTTCTGTCCTACAGATCTAGAAAAAATCAAGGCCTACATTGATTCCTTCAAATATGGAGCACCGCCTCACGCTGGTGGGGGTATAGGTAAGTACATGTGTTCAGAGAATGGAAACAGATGTAAGTGGTGAAAGTCACGTCCTTAAAATATCTGTATGTGGACATAACAATATTTGGTTGAACCCCCTACTCCCCACCCCCACCCCCAACCCCACCCCTTCTATTTATATAAAGAAGTTGTTCGAGAAAAGCTCTCTACAAATGATGTAGTTCCCAGTTATTAACTCAGGGTCGAACCAAAGGCAGCATTCATCAAATCCTGTCCAGTATAGTGTTAACTGTTTTTCTTGGGTTTGTTCTAAACATTTTCTATTAAAATGAAACGTGGATGTTCTCCAAATTTTAACTCTGTTGATGAAAAATACTTCTGGAACTTACGTCACATATGCTCGAAAAATATTGTAATTGAAAACTGAACCTGTACAGACAATCAGACACAAAAATAGTGGTAAATTTAAATATTTTAAATTAAACAGGAAATGATATTGAGGTTTGATTTTAAGATTTTACGAGACACTGTTAATTTGTTTACCCAGGTATGGAGAGGGTGTGTATGCTGTACCTCGGCCTCGACAACATCAGGAAGACGTCCATGTTCCCACGTGACCCCAAGAGACTCACCCCGTGAGCAACATCTACTCAACCAATCAGCTGCTGTCGCTGATAACGTTCTCAACCAATCACCTGCTGTTGTCGTTAACGTTTTAGTTAATCTGGCTGAACTACTCTATAATAGTGCTAAGACAAATGTGTCATATATATTTATGTGTGTATGTTCTGTAAAAAGGAGATAGATTGGTTGCTTAAAGGGAAACTCTGTGACTGTATTAAAATGTTCTAGGTTCCTTCCACGAACTTGATTGATTGGCTATGAAATATTTACTGCCTCAATTTCACATCATGTGACTTTTACAATATCTTATAAAAAAAAGCCACAGGAAGTTTTAAAAGTTTATAATTAGGATTTACAAATGCGTATCGACATTTTGGATAAAAAATATAATGTTCTTTCACTTGACACTCTTTTGTTAGAGTAATTGTGGTTCATCACTTTTGAAAAATAATGGAATAGACATTGGTAAAATAGCATTGTTATAATCAAAATCTGCCTATACGGCTGGCATATATGTTGGTGTCCGGGGATAACTTACTGTCAATTTTGTGTAAGTTTGTTCAAGTCTGCTGATGTATTTGAAATTTTTGAAGGCGTCCTTTCATATTTGCCATTTTCATTGCAGGATGACTGTTTTGTAAACATGGCATACCTGTTTTGTCAGTGGTCCTATGTGTGAACTTTTTATGTGATACACATCTGTTTTCATAAGTTTGTGCAATCAATTATAGTTGGTTATGGCCATTCTCGGTTATGGCCATTCTCTTTTTAATAACATTCAGTGTCAAAGTGATCCTTTGATGAAAGCCTGACAACCAATTAAATTAATTAATGGATTCTGATTTTGCTCATGAGTGATTTAAGGGTTTAACTGTAATTATTTCAAAATAGTAAAAAAGTTTTAAAGATTTCCACTATGATAATGATACACATTATGCTTGTCCACTTTATTTAAAAAAAAACACTTTTGAAAACTATCATAGTGAAATTTTATTTTATTTACAGGTAAAAGTGTTTCACTAGATTTAACAGTTCTCAAGTTCTCTTACTTTTCACTTTACTTGCCAACTCTAAGCACGGATGTGAGGATAGTTTAAAGTTGTTTTTGAAAAATATCTGTGGAATGAAAATGATGACAAATCAACAGAAGTAGAGATTTTTTTAATTTAGAGTCACTTGTATAAATCAGGTAGCGTAGTCAAATATTTATATAACAAATCCCAGAGATATATTTAAAGGTATTATTTCTCTGTAATGAAACATGTTTATAACAAACCCCAGCGACAAAAGAGAACTGTGTTTGTGTGTTCATAGTATTTAAAATGTGTTTTGCTGTATACAGTCATGTAAAACAGGTTAAGTATCGGCACACACAACTATGTATTCCTGCCATATCAAATCATTGGGTCGATGTTTGATGATACAGGGTGGCGTGGTTTTTTTTCAATTTTCCATTTTATTTTTTACTGGTATGCACATCACGTAGAAATCTAACACTAGTAGTTTTTGCACACACAATTTTAATATATATTTTTTATTTTGATTTAATAATATATTTGATTAAGTAGTTAAATATTTTGTATACCAAAGATGGATGTGCAAAATTATAGGAAAATTATAGGAAGACAATTTATTTACACTAATTTACCCCCAAAAAAATGTATTCTTATGATATTTTAATACATAACAAACAGTAAATTAAAAAAGAAATTGACAACTCTGTCTTACCGAGACATATTGTCCTGCTGAAATAGTAGACCAGCAAGAAGGATTGAGATAGCAGCTCCATCAGTGTTGATTATTTACTGGCAGTGTAGAAATAGGGATAACTTTGACAGTTCATTTAAAAAAACAATTGGTGAATTTCTGGTGAACGATAAAATACGAATTTTTCAATTTTACATGGAGGACAACCAAGAGTCAAAACCAACATGTATATGTACTTAAAATGACCCCTATTTGACACAAACATCATTGTAAAGTCATACTCTTTGAAGCATTTTATCTAATTGTTGAGGAAAAAGCAGGATGTAGGATATTCTGCTAATTAAAATGTAAAAAATGAGTTTGTCACTGAAATAGAGAAAATAATATTATACAGATAACAACTGATTTAAAGTGAACACTGCCATTGCGTCTGGACCCCTGCAATGAATCTCAGTCAGATTGTTATAAGTTATGAATGTGTGAAGATTTGACTGTTTGACACTCGTATTAATGGAATATTTGTCTCCCAAAGACTGCATGCCTGTTTTGTGAATGTTTTGTTAAAGAAATTTTAAGGAGAATTCAAATTATTATCATTTTATAATATAAAGTATTATAAGATTACCATGATGTTATGTTGTGATTTCTCAACTTGAATGCCGCCATAACTCGAAAAGTTGCTTCCTTGTAATTCGGCTACACAGAAACCTGAATAATCTTGGGCCTGTATTCGTGAAACCGTTCTCATGCTCAAGCACAGATTCTGTGTTCAAACCCACTTTCTTGTAACTGGCTTAAATCCTGTAAAACAATCAAAAAGTCAAATGTAAACATCTAAAACAGTTTTTGTCTTCAAATTGTTTCCAAATCATAGACAAAATGATATTTTGTTAGTTTATAATATTACGAGAGCAAGGAATTCCGCTTGAGCAAAAAATTCATGTCTGAGCATGAGAACGGTTTCATGAATAGGGGCCCAGAAACATCTGTATGCTGGCCTTTAGGACTCTGATGTTGGCCTAGGGATGTATACTGAGGTCATTAGCTTACAACTTACGGTCAAGTGAGTTTTGTGCAGCATCTGGCTTAAATATTATCAAGTTGCTTTTCCATCCATCACCCATTGGTCAATCGGTAAGCCAGGCCTGCATTCATCAAACATTTCTCATGCTCAAGCATCGATTCTGTTTTCAACCAAGTTTCTTGATACTTCCTTTAATCATGTCAAATGATCAAAAAGTCAAGTGTAAACATTGAGAACCGAATTCGGCTTTAAGCCTCATCAAATAGTTTCCAAATTGACATTTTTAGCCCACCATCATCTTATGGTGGGCTATTCAAATCACCCCGCGCCCGTCGTCCGTCCTTAAACAATTCTTGTTATCGCTATTTCTCGGGAAGTACCAGAGGGATCTTTCTCAAATTTTATGTGTAGGTTCCCCTCGGTCCTTAGCTGTGCAGGGCAACTTTTGAGACTGATCGGATACACAACATGGCCGACAGGCAGCCATCTTGGATTTTGATAGTAAAAGTTTGTTATGGCTATTTCTCCGGAAGTACCAGAGAGATCTTTCTCAAATTTTATATGTAGGTTCCTCTTGATCTCTCATTGTGCATGTTATATTTTGATACTGATCATAAAAGCAAAATGGATTAAAAGAAGAACTAAACAGATCTTTCTCATATTGCAATGACCGATTATATTTCTTTCACATTAAGTACTGTACTAGTAAATATGTGAAATGGCAAACTCACTTTGAAGGTTGGCTTTCATACACATCAGTATTAAGTTTAGATCAAAAGTTAACTCAAGGTGCATTTACTGTTAACATGACTCGATAAAACAGATTATAGGAAAGAAGAGAAAAGATCGAACTGACAAAGAACTAATGAAGATGGTACAAAGGTGGGCGCCAAGATCCCTTTGGGATCTCTTGTTTTTTATTTCAATGTATAATGGGAACAAGAAATTTGGCTTGAGCCAAAAAACATGGGTAAGTATGAGAACGGTTTCATGAAAAGGGGCCCTGAAACATCTGTACCCTGGCCTTAAGGACTCTGATGTTGGCCTAGGAATGAATTCCAAGTTTATTAGCTTACGGTCAAGTGAGTTTTTGTCGTTGAGTTGCATCCTGCCTAAATTTATCAAGTCGCTATTCGTTCCTCATCAATCAACCAGTCTGTAAGCAAGGCCTACATTTATCAAACCGTCCTCATGCCCAAGCATTGATTCTGTGCTTGATCCTAATTCTTGTTACATGCTTGTATTCAGCTTTTAATCTCTTCAAAATTCGACCGTGTCTTTGACAATATATAATACATTTATTTATCACGGGAACAAGAAATTGGGATTGAGCACAGCATTATAGTTTGAGCACGAGAACAGTTTCAAGAATACGAGCCCAAATTTTGCTACTGCCGTCTCTCAGAAACAGCTAGAGGGATCATGATGTAACTTAATGTGGATGTTTCCCGCTGTCCCAGATGGGCATGCTTTACCTTGAAATAGTTTGTAATGACAAAATGGACATCAGGTCCCGATTGCTCAAATGTTGGTTAGCCCTTTCACCACTGTGGACCATAATGGACTCCTCCAGATCAATGTATGGTAGGGTTTACTAAAGTTACATAGGGTGAAAGGGTAAGAGTTATCCAGTGGTAAGGGAAAAATTAAATTTGAATACAACAAAATCAAGAACATCTGACTCTATTTCATTGCTGTATATTTGTTGAGACAGATCAGATTGATGAATTTTGAGTTTTTATTTTGCTTTGAAATCCCCCGTTCTTTAGTGGCATTCTTATGCCCCGCCATAAAATTACATATAGTGTTACCCATGTCCGTCCCGTCCCAATTCAATATAAAAAAAACACTTTTGTCAAACTTTATACAAAGGTCAAGTATGAGGATACGTTGGACATCGTTGTGTTTCAGGGTTCCAAGGTCACGGTAGCTTTATATCACTCTAGCTCCTTCATTTCACTAATTTCACATAGCGACGGGAAACTTGCACTGACCACTGGTCAGTGGTTAACAAACCTTTGAGCAACCTGGTTTTTCAAAGAGGGAGAGCTGTACACAAATTGGTTTTTTTTGTAAGAGGAGATACAGCAACATTTAAAGGAGTGGTTCTATCGAGTGGAAGATGTAAATAGTGTCAGACGGATAGGATGATACACGTGGGTAAGCTGCATGGTCTTTAAACAGTCTGGATTTAAATGTTTCATGTTAGAGGGTCGGCATCACGTTGGGTTCACAGCTAGCTCATGGTCGCTATTCGTAGATTAGTGCAGCGCTCTCCTTCAGACGCTTCCGGTGGCTCCACACAGATAAGCAATACTCCAAGTTAGGATAAAAAGGGGCAATTAATAAGCACAGGCCTTGTAATTCGGTAAACTTTGATATCGTTATGTCCCTCCTTACCGTTTTCTATTGATATTGATGTTTCGACGAGAGATCTGTTGAGAGGGCCATCCCAAAGTATTGGTATATCTTCAAGTAAGTGACATTTGAGATGGTAATGGGCCGAAGAGATATTACTGCTCTTTGTAACCCTTAGCATACAACAGTTTTCTCGGAGAAAGTCCATACCTCATCATTTTCTGATCAGATCTACGTTTTACTGCAGTGTATCACCGTTTCCTGTTCTCTTACCGCTGTGACCTGACGTTGGAAGGTCATTGATAAATGTTAGGAGTAAAAAAGCTCGGAGAAGGTCCTCGTTGGATTCTTTTGGTGACGTTCCTTTTACCTAGTCCGTTGTTCCAGAAACTCTATATTCAGGAATGTCTTGGCGACATTGTATACCATAGAAGTCTAGCTTCCTCAACAGGTTCTGGCTGGAGTGGCATCCGGTCGAATGAAATTAGAGCCTGTCTTTAGTCCAGGGTCAATATTTCTCGCAAGATCAAAGCAGAGAATAAGAAACTAGGTCAAACAGCTTCTCTGGTCCTGAACATGTTGGCAATCATTTAGAGTTACATGATCGAACTTAAATCTATATTATACCATTATTAGCTCACCTGGCCCGAAGGGCCAAGTGAGCTTAAGCGATGGTGCAGCGTCCGTCCGGCGTCAATATTTTACTTTAAACAACTTCTTCTGAATAACCAAGAGGCCTAGGGTGATGATATTTCGCCAGAAGCAAACTGGGATAAAGGGCTACCAAATAACCAAAATGCCCAGAGTGAGGATATTTGGCCAGTAGCATGCTGGGATGAAGGGCTACCAAGTTTGTTCAAATGAATGACCTTCATCCATTTTCAAGGTCACAGGGGTCAATTGTCTTAAACAACCTTTATACAACTTCCCCTGAATAACTAAGAGGCCTGAGATAATGATATGTGGCCAGTAGCATGCTGGGATAAAGGGCTATCAAGTTTGTTCAAATGAATGACCTTTACATATACTCAAGGTCACAGGGGTCAAATATGTTTAAAACCTTTAAACGACTTCTTCTCAATAAGCCAAAGGCCAAGGGTGATGATATTTGGTCATTAACAGGCTGGGATGAAGGGCTACTAATTTTGTCAAAATGAATGACCTTCGCCCATATTCAAGGTCATAGTGGTCAATATATGTTTAAATCTTCAAATGACTTGTTCTGTATAACCAAAAGGTCCAGGGTAATAATATTTTGCCAAAAAGCGTGCCGGGATGGAAGACTTTAAACTCTGTTCAACCTAATGTCCTTGTTCGACATTCAAGGTCACAGGCGTCAAATGTTTAAATCTTTTAATAGGTTCTTATGAATCAAACACTGATATTCTGCCTGTAGCTGTATTTTAGTCCACTTTTAAGATTACGAGTGTGAGATTAATACCAGGTGAGCGATTCAGGCCCATTGGGCTTCTTGTTTAATTTTTGAGTCCAGAGGAACTCTGTTGAGTTTGTCTATCTAGTTCATGATGATGGGCAGGGTGACATCTTGTAACATAAACATAATAACATAATAGAGAACGGACTGAAAATACCCGGTATGCCTCTCTACCTTCATGAAGACGGCTGTGACCTTTCTTCCCTATCCATGCATGCAGATAAGAATTTCCCCCGCGACGTCTTTATGTGTCTTTGCTGGAATGCCGTTATACATGTTATGAATGTAAGTTTGTGAAAAGTATTGCATGTCATTCGTTAACCGAGATAATGTGATTTAATAAGGATCAGAAATTACATCGAATCATTTGGTTTTTGCCAAAACATTCGTCAAAATTGGTTAAGAAATAGCTTCTCAAATTCATTTTTCAAAAGTCACCAACGAAAATTTTCTATAAACATACCTGGTAAAAGTTATCTTTGTGAACTCATTTATGGCCTCGTACCTTTTTGGCAGTGTTAAAATATCGGGAAATTTCAATGTGGGCTTCGGCCATTTTCGGAGATAAGCTATGGTATAATATTATAAAAACACATTAATTTTGGAGACAAAAACATGAAGATACGTCCATGTTCATAAAACCAATATTGTTTTCCCCACCTTGTCACATCAGCAATAACTCAACGACCAGCAGTAAGAAAATGATATATTAACTTTACTGTTTCATAGTGCCACAGTTATTTTGGCACTTCATTAACATCATATTCCATGTGTACTCAATCTCAGCCTAAAATTGCAGTATCATTGATGGGGATCCTGTGGAAAAAAAAAAAAAAAAAAACCCATTCGGAATAAGATTCATCAGTTGGGTATGAATAATAAATGTTAAGTTTGTTTTGAACGCGAACAGTAATTGAAAACTTATTTTCCGTGCAAAGAGTGTAAATGACCGTTATCTCGTCTCTTACCCGTTGAAAACGGCTGACTAGATCACAATGTGCCAAGTCAGTAAAGTCAACCGTCAGAATGTACAACTGTTGCAAAATCTCGGGTCCCTGTGTTTTAAGTTTCATAAAGTAATGTCTCAAGTGTATACAAAGTAAATACAACACAAGGCTACCAATATTTCTTTTTCGAAAAATAAGAAACCATCGGAAAATGAACTTGCACAGGGACAAAGGTGCCTTTTTTCTGAGGTTTAAAGAATCAAAATTGTGCTATAATAGGGCTGAGTCACCACTGTAGACCATAATGAACTCATCTAGATCAATGTATGGTAGAGTCTACAACAGTTTCCTAGGGGTGAAAGGGTTAATCCGTCCAAGTTGTGCGGGCTCAATCTCACATTTCAACTGTTGCTGGTAATTTGCGAGTCCCAAAATATTTTAAAATTTAAATCTTATTGTCTTTTTTCATTGTCGATGAAAAGAAGAGTAAAATAGAGAGAAAAAGTATCTTATCAGGAGAATTGTGACACAGGTTGGAAGTATTTCTTTCGCAAAAACGCAGAGGAAATTATTGATTACAATAAGAAAATTACCTGATTTTGCATATTGAATTGTAAGTCATCTCACACGAAGCATCAATCCATTCAAAATTTGCTTTGCCCCATAAAACAAGACAGTTTTGACCTAAAGCACCATCCGGGTCACCAGGATACCAGTCAGTGAACCCGATTCCTTGCTCAGTGCTGGCCCATTTCCACTGGTCCTCGTTCGCTGCATCGGTCCCGCTCGTGAAATAAATAACCTGGTCTTTGCCTGAATATTTAAGAAAGCAGTTTGAATACCAATTGAAAATTGTCTTTCTACAGATTAAGAGTCAACTATCTTCATTTCTGTAATAGGCAAATGAGTACCGCACGCCATGGACATTGAGGATTGGTCACTCTATTGTGACGTTGTTTTTAGCAACGCTGCTTATGTTAAGAAACAAGAAGAAGGGATAACATTTAACCGTTTAGCAAAGCTTTAATGAAACTTCTTATAAAACTTTTGAAGAAAAAATATTCTTTAATAAAAAAAAAACAACGTATGCGTTTCTTTTTACTTCTAGTATATGAAACTTTTGATGACTTAGGTTAAGAAACTGAAATACAAGTGCTACTGAAATGCGACGAGGGAAAGGTGAATATTTCGACACAAAAAAAAACATAAAATACAATGAAGATTATATTTCAGTACTGGTTAAATCTCTTAAGTTACTTACCCGTTGTGTGCATGTACACTTGTTAAAGATGTAATTTGATGAAATCATTTTCACCTGAACTTTCTATTGCTAGAAGATCGCTATTCAAACTAGCACAATGATTCTACAATAAAAAAGCGTATATTCAATCCCACAGGATTTAAGAGAACTTCATACACATTGCTTTTTGACTATTATAGACAGTGGATATTTAATCTCATCAGTCGAAGGAGCTATTTGCTCCGACATAGTCCGCCGTCTGTCTGTAAACCTTTTCTACGAGCTTTGTTTGTTTGTTTGTTTGTTTGTTAGTGTTTTATGTCCTATTAGCAGCTATGGCAATTTACTAGTAAGGACGTACCAGGTTTTGGTGGTAGATGAAAGCCGAAAATCCCATTATTGAGCATTATTGCTGAAAATTGATCAAAGCCCTTAAACTTAGCTTATGTCCAAATATAGCTGTAACTGATTCTCAAGTCCCTGTGGATCGCCCTAGGTCAGTAACGATTTGTGTAAATATTTGGAAAATGATGATGATGTCACAGTAACTAAAATTTTATTAGAAAATTTACCTTTAATACTATCTTGGATCATACACTGAAATTGGTCCGAGACCAGTCGATATTACCAAACATGACCGCATAATGCGATGATTAGTAAACAGCAACAAACCAATGACTGAGATCATGTTTGTTCATCACTGACGAAAAGGTAGCACGCCCTGGCATAGTGCAGCCACCCACTCTGACAAACATTGGTAGCACCATCGGTCTCCAAATCTGAATTTGAAATTCACAATTTTCAAGAACAACACATTTTATGTAAGTCTTAATTGTTGCATTATTAAAACAATATCAGTTTTATATTTGTTTCTACTCATGAAGCTCTGCAAGCCAGTTTGTGACAATTGAAATATCATTTTTATCTCACCTATCCCGAGCAACAAAGTTCGCTTAGGAAGCATTACGGTGCCCGTCGTCTATCAACGCTTTCCTAAAAACTCCCCCTCCTGAGTAACTGGCCCAATTTCAGTCACATTTGGTAGGGATTAAAAGTGCTTACAGTAAAAGTGAGGCCAGATGGGTCCGGCCTATACCAGTGGGGATATTATCACCAAATGTTTTTAATGAACCATTCCTGGGCCAAGGGAGTTAACTTTTGTATAAGAGAGGAAAGGCCCGAAAAGACTACTCCTCAAATACGAGTGATGGAATGCTTACTCGATCAATGTTGAACATATAAGTTAAAAAGCCTTCAAAAAGAGCTGTTCGATGCAGATCACTGGTATTTAGCCTATCGCGTTAGCTTGTTTGCTGTAAAGTTAGTTAAACTAAATTTGGCCTTGACCCACTTTGATGGTCGTAGACGTACGATGTGTTGTAAAAGATGCATATTAGTAACCACGACCTACATAACCTTTAATCAACAGATGCTACGTTATAATTACGATCTTAATATTACTTCAACTTGCACTGTGGCCGACTTATGTATGGAACACCCTAAATGGAAGAAATATTGAGACCAAACACAATAGAGTTAATTATTATGGCCATAAATTATTTACAATTACCACAACGAAAAATCCTTTTAGCAGTAGTGCATTTTTAGTGTGTTGCAATTTAAAACATGTTTTAAATATCTTTTAAGCTACTCAGGATTTTAACAACAGTACTTAGATGAAAACCTACTTACGGAAAAGAAACACAGTTAAAATAACGACCAACATGTAGATCTTCCCCATGGTGTCATGAAAATACTTCCCTCTTTATCTTGTCACCACGGCGGTGAAGAAGCTTATCTTTTGGACTGATAAAAAAACTGCCAGCATTATAGTGTTGAATCATAGTATAAATGTCATGAGAAAACAGCATTTGTTGATACACATAATCAAGATAAAACTCGCCTACCGGGAACTTGATCGTACGTCATCACTTTTGGGGGACCTGGCAGAGGAGACAGAAGTTTCATACCAAATAGAACCTTTTGGTTCTTCAGAAAATAACTTCAAATGATATTTTTTCACAAACTATCCTGGGCTCCAGGAATCTACACCAAACATTATCATGACTTCAAGCTTTTCAGGATTTTTCACAAAAATGACGTTTCTAACATATTTTGACCCAGTTTCCTTGGAAATAGGTCAAGGTAATTTGTATTCACAAACTCTTTCAGGCTTCATCCTAGGAAGCTACTAGTGTGAACTTACAGATCTCTCTGCTGTTGGGAAGCACAACCGCCATTTTATAGGGCTTTTGTCCACAATGAGCTCTGGAAACTGTCAGCGTCGTCAGGTGAATCCTAGTACTAATATTAATACCCCGCCTCCTCTGCCCTGACGACGCAATATATAAAAGAATCTCTCGTCGTCAGAAAGCTACGTTATCGCAGCTAGGTGAATCCCAACCATCATCCCCTTGTCCACGACGTCCTCTGGTTGGCGGGTCAGTAGTGGTGATTATAGTCACTGCTCGCCGATTGCTGTGTCTTCCTCCTGTCATCCCCACTCACTGAAGCAACTTCCAAACTGACTGTGCTGGGAACCTTCTGGTAATAGCCAGACATTCCATCTCCTCTGCCTACACTGCTCCAGATGCTCTTGATATTTGGCAGCCTTCCTTTTGTATGCTTTGGCGCAAGCCTCTTCCCAGTCAATAATTATGACTTTAGGCCTATTGGATATATTTGACACATGACCTTGAAAGTAAGCAAGGTAATAATGTGTTGTTTTCAAAAAGTGTTTGGATGCCATTCCAGGATACAAGTCAGATAACATTGTTTTAACCTTTTAAGTTTATTCATGAAAATGTCATTTTCCAGCGAAGCTTTTTCCATACTTGACCTGTTTGACCTTGAAAGTAGGTTTTTTTCAGTAAGTTTGTTGGGCTAGATATAATGATTATATTCTCTATGGTTCTGTCGATGACCATTGATGATGAATGCCATGCCGTGACGTAAGCTAGCTTGCCCTTCAGCCAGATGAGGAAAAAATATTAAATATGCAGAATATGAAGTAAGTGGTTTGACCAAATTAATTCCACAATACCGTTCCATTCCATTTTGCAGTATTAAATGTAATTTCATCAAATGACAATAAATGTGTGGAACATATATATTTGTAACTTGCATGGTGACAAACGTATTTAAAATAAAAAATTCAAAGACAAATATATGTTAGTCATCTGATTTTATTCATTTATTGCATAAAAAACCTATACATTTGTATCACTGCTAAATTGTGTATAAAAATATTTCCTCTAGACCCCTTACAGCACTTACACACGTGCATACAACACACATCCAATTTTATATCTCGCATACATCACTCTCTTTTCCAGAATATGGATTCCTGCTAAATGAATAGTTTACAAAATTTCCGTGAATATATTCTAAAATTGTCATCTTCTTAAATACAGTACAGAGCTTTGTAATAAGCAGACTTTTTCCATTGCCATATGGAACAAGTTTTTTGGTAAAGCAGATCTTAGCTACTTTCACCTGGTTCTAAATGATTGACAGGCTGTATTAGACCGTACATTTAAGAGGCCGGACCTGACTTGGTGTTTAGAAGGCTGGATAAGACTTGATGTGTGTTATAATGGAACAGGGACGGACCTAGTAGTTTAGTCTTAATTATTAGGGAGTCAGTTGATGAAAAACTATCTTACATAAACGAAAGGCCCTTTGGATTCCAAATAGGGAAGACAAAGTTAATTGGTCATGACCTTTAACCACACAACTAATTTGGTCAATTTCCTGGTACCTGCATTTTAGGTGAATGAATGTTCAATAGAGTAAGCGCTTTACAAACAGTATTCTTTCAAAGACTCGCAATCATCTCTCCAGTATAACAGGCCAAGTCTGCATCCGAATATACTCAAAACAAAACAGGAATTAACAGTAATCAAAGAAGGCATATACTGTCGTGCTAATGATAGATGAATAAATTTGAATTTTCGAAGATAACAGTTTGTAAACATTGAAAGAATTTTAAAGAGTTAACACTAGTCTAAGCGAAAAATACAGAAAAAAACCTTCAATGTAATCTTACAATAAAGGAAACATCATGAATTTCAGACTTTATTATATATATATACATATATCTGTGATTTTAATAATTAATTCTTTTTTTTTACTTGTTATTTGTTCTATACATCAAATTATTTTTATTTTTTTACAGAAATTCCCTGCATTTCATGCAATCCATGTAAAGCATTAATATTTAAAACCAAAAAAACTGAAATTATTTAAAACATTAAAGTAAAACAATAATCAATGGTAAAATGATGAAATTGACTGGTGGGGGGGGGGGAATGAATCATGGACATGAATTTTTTACAATGTATGTTTTTATATAAAAATGTTTCATATGTACAAAATATACAAAATCATTATTTTACAATATACAAATTATTTTACAAAATCTTTTTCCTAAGGACTACACAGTATGGAGTCAATCATGATATGTTTTCTTTGATAAATATGGATATCACAATTTAAAATGGCAGCACATTGCATCTCTTATCCTTGAATGATTTCATCAGACCTATCAATTAAAGTTAGATCATCCAGTCTGGGTTGATCAACATGGGAAAACATTATCAAGAGAAGCAATCATGTCTTAAGATACCACACTGCGGGCATATGGAATGTATGGTTTGAGATTTCTTATACATGCAATTGGACTATCAGGACAAAAAAAAAGTGGAATCGGTAATATTTTCAAAATCATGAATGGAATATTTTACTATACTTAATGGCCAACAAAAAAACAAAGCATTGTTCCGTAAAATTTCCTTATTTTTACCTTCATTTCAAAATTCACTTCGACCTTTGAGAAACTAAACAAAACTTATACATTGTAATGATGCAATTTATCCTGCATTTAACAACGGATCCAAAAACATCTTGCCTAAATGTAGACCTGAAGCAAAGTTAACTGTGCCTAAATGTAGACCTGAAGCAAAGTTAACTGTGCCTAAATGTAGACCTGAAGCATAGTTAACTGTGCCTAAATGTAGACCTGAAGCATAGTTTGCCTAACTGTTGAAATGTAACACAGGCGTCTGCTTCACAACTGTTCCATATAACTGAAGGGAATTTCCTTAATTTACGATTTCCCCAGTTTTCCTTTTGCAAGACCTAGCGTTAAGGAATTTCCTGAACTTAAAGGTACGTTTCTGAAACCTGGAACAATTAGTCTAAATGCTGACATATTTTGTAGCTTATTCTGCCTAACCCGGATTGATACTTTAGCTAACCTCCTATTGTGGTATATCCCACTTTGCCTAACTGTTGCTATGTAATGCAGTAGTTTGGTCTAGGTAGCACATTTTGCCTAAGTGTTGATTTTTCACAGTTGACATGTTAGCACATTTATTTGAACTATTGATATGTATCTATATAAACCACTCCCTTCGTTTAGCAATGTCTGGTACACCTGTCTGGTTGTAGACCACGGCTGTGTCGGGGTTGTCGGCAAGATCTTGACCTTTGGCCTCCTTTGTGCTGTAATCGCCCTTCTCCCGGAAGTAGATGAAACCGATGATGGCAAGGATGATAATGATGAGGAAGATCAAAGCGACAACTCCTACAAAGATGAAAAAAATAAAATGATTTTAGATTTTAGAGGTTATTTTAGTTTTAAGTATATAAATATGTTTAAATGTTTCTTAACATTTTCTTTAGGTTGGTAAGTATGAAAAGTAGAAAGGTTATGTATCTTTCTAAAAGGCTATCGGTCTGATGAAGCTGACAGGGTACGTATCGTACCAGTCACCGAAACCTCACATATAAGTGGTTGTGATACATAAATTTTCTACTTTTCAAAAGCGTTTCTTATATTATTAATATTCAATATTAGTCAATATTAACATTTCAGAAATAGGGCCTGTATCTTTTCTTGTGGATTTTTGATCAATGCCATAACATTTCTAATTTTAAAGAAGGTTTCATTTCCGAAACACCCAAGAAATATCCAGTGCCTCTAGCTCCAACAGTAAAGTGTCACAGGAGACCAGGACACGTGTATTTTTACCTCCAATGACGCCCCTCTCGGTGGGGGTCAGGCCGTCGTCGCTGTAGGGGAATGTGATGTTTGTGTAGGGACCTCCGGCGATGGGGCGGGTCTCAATTGGATCTGGGGGCTGTGTGACTTCCTCAAATCCACACATATCCTCTCGTACCTTCCCTATCAGTTCAAAACGTATCGAGACATTTACATCGACTCATTTACAAGAATTTACAAGTCAATGAAAAATACAAATAAGAAACGTGATTTTTTTTTATTTTTACAAAAAAAAAGGTGACTTGCTCCATATGTATATGTAAGCCAGACAAAAAAGATTTCGAAAAAGTAATTAAATATCGTTCATAACTTTGTTAGAAGATTTTTATTTTATGGAAAGCTTTGATATATTTACCATATCAATTTTGTTATTTTCAGATTTTTTTCATATTTCAGTTCATCCATTGCATCGAGGTCTAAAATTGAGGATATCTAATAACACATTTTCAACATCTTAAGCTCTACAAACCAGACACCTGAAGCAGTTTTTAATTTTCTTACCTGTGGGGTTAAGTTCTACAAATGATGGTCGGGGATCCTGGAAGGCTCGCTTCAAGGGATAAATGTTGTCAACCTGCATACGGTAGATGCAGCCTTCAAATCCCTTAGCGCTGTTTTTGGTGTCTGACAATGCAAGAAAATAAAAATCTTATACATTCAAACATATACCTTGAACATTCATTCTATGTGACAGAAAAAAAATCATCGTCTTTTTAGGATTTTCTTTTTGCGAGCTACATGTAATATGTAAACTACAGTAAAACCTTGTTATAATGCCAGCATTTGTACAGAGAAATTTTGGCATTATAAAGTGGTTCGGCAATAAATTGAGAGAAACATACAAAGGAATTCTTTAGCAAACAAGAAAAAGGGACATTGAGAAATGTTTGAGGTAAACGAGGTGGCAAACGAAACGGGCATTATATCCAGGTTTCCCTGTATAATTGGAGGTAATGATATTTTATTACTATTTTCACGCTAATTCAAAAATGCTGAACTAAGATAGCCAATAAATATGAAAGAACTGTATTCATGCACATGACAGAAAGCTGTATTAATTAGCCATGATGTTTGTGACGGTTAAAAATTGTCCACAATAACTGGAAATCAGAGAACACTAATATAAGAACTCGATCAACAGGTTTATAGTAACCTGGTCCTCTTGAAGAAACTTCTTGTCACTGTGGAAACATTCCTATATAACATTTTTTTTATTTTTCAAACAAATAATTCATTTCATAGTCAATGGACCCTCAAACTTCTGGCCTTCCACAAATATAACCAGGATTTGATTCTGCTTCAGTAGTGTGGAGTTTTCAGAGGTATTGTTTCCCGACCTGCAGCATATTTCATTTTTAGGGCTCATTACCAGAACAGGTCCTATGTCTCAACGCAAGTAATAATTATACACACCACTGTAGATATAGCACTAGTAGTTGCCAATGGCAGCTAAAGAGGACACTTATTTCAGAAGTGACCCAAACAATTTGATTAACTATCAACTACAACATTTAACCAATCACTCGTTTCCTTCCATCCACTGTACATGTTACGTTGGTAGATAAAGACATTTAGAGGATGCTTACCGTTACTTCCGACAAACAGAAATTTCGGGTTGTTGAGGATGCTGTCACTGAGAGAAGCTCCGAGAGTGTCAATAGCCTCGGGATAGTTATCGACCTGTGGGCAGGAAACAAGTCCAACATGACTAACATGACTTACACACCACATACTGTAAAATCATAAATTTTCGTGGGACATTAAATTTCGTTTATTTTGTGGATAACAAAAATCCACGAAATTAAGTCCCAACGAAAAAATAAATTTGGTATGATATCGATAGGGGGAAAATCAGAAATCATCGAAATATAATGTCATTGAAACAGACTAGTATATGAAAACCACGAAATTTTAACCCCAATTAACCACAGTAAACCATGACAAACATTGTTTCGTATGAACAGGATTTAGAAGGACAGCTAGTATCAGCAGCAATCTTTGTTCTTGAGATCAGAAGAATGAGCTGTTTCATATTACAAAATCATCTTTTGTGCCCTAAATTACTGTCCATTGCACTAAAAGGGTCAAATTAATGTTTGGAAAATTGCTCCCCAAGATGAACAACCAGATTGGAAACTAGACTTAAAGGGATTGGATATCATCTGTACTTTTCTTCCTTTTCGTAAAATAAAATCTAACCTGATGAAATATAAGCTTTCAAAAACCGAGATGCCCTTGTCTTAAACTTGTTACCACAGACAATAAACCTGAAATTGGGTCATACAATATCTGAAACGAAATCAGGCCCAGAAGTTTTGCTCTTTAAATTCTTAAAATCGTGCAGGTAATATCCAATTAAGAAATTTGAATTATGGAAATATGATGAGTAAAAGAATAATATCTGGAGATTTAACCTGTATGCCCTACCTGTAAATGGACGACTCTGCCTCCTGCGCCCTCTCTCTTCATCTTGGCCTCATGCTGCTGCCCATTGGTGTAGTCTATTCCATGATTAGGGGTGTTCAGCTCCCAACGTTCAGAACCAACATCAACCACAAATTTTATGCCACCTGAGTAAAATAACGAATATGAAATGGTGAAAACTAATTATTGGTATTGAATTATCGAAATTTTAAATTGTATCACATACCACAAGAATGATCAATGTTGAAGGGAAATAAAATATCATATTTTCTTGGAATGTAAAACTAGACAATTTTCACAAAGACAGGTGACGACACGACATATGTCGATACTTACCACTGTTGTTGATTTCCAGGGAAACGTATTCCGTGTTCTCAGCATCGCGAAGCTGAAGAAGGATACCCTGCTTCTTCTTGGTGGTGAAGCCTACACGGATGTTCATGAAATCAGTGGCTGATAATCCCTGGCTTTCGTCAAAGGTATACTTCACCTGGTAATTGGTCTGAAGATTCACGCCGACTTCTGTAAAGGTCAATGAAATCTATACATGTAGGTGGTCCAGTATATACGAGAAATCTATACATGTAGGTGGTCCAGTATATACGAGAAATTTATACATGTAGGTGGTCCAGTATATACGAGAAATCTTTACATACAGTATGTTATGTTATATATTTTACCGAGACAGTAAAAATAAAGTAGAATGACCCATATGTCTTGCCTGTGCCCCGCTTTGACCATCAATGCACATATCAGAAAAGCTAACTGAAATGCCAAAAATTAATGTTGATGGAGATGCGGACAAAATGGACCATGAATGGTAGGACGCATCCAGCATTTGATGCATGGGTTGAGGTCCAAGTTTGATCTGTCTACTATCACTTACACTTTCAGTTAAAACTAAGTTAAACGCATAAACTTAATGTTGATGCCACGGCCGCCGTCGCTGGAAGAGCAACACCTTAGTCTCGCTTCCGCTACTTTGGTGAGACAATAAAAAATTATATAGATGAATTCCAAATAATAATCTTCTGTACTTTTAGCGGTGTTCATAACTGACCTCTGCCACACATCCACCCTCTCCATGGTGTGTATGCACAGTCACAGGTGTAGCCGGAATATCCCTCTATACATGTGCCTCCGTTCATGCATGGATTGCTGTTGCACTTTCCGTTACAGTTGACCGACACACCATAGTAGAAGTCACCACGCTCCACAAGACCCCTTAGGTCCTGGAGCACACCGTTTACTCGCAGGCCCCTTATGCATCCAACAAACCCGTTTTTGTCTTCCACTGTAGCACCTGTGAGAAAGTCAATTGATGCATTATGAGACAAGTGATCAAATGAGATTCAAAAAATATTTAACAAATACTGCATTGTACCTTACACCTTATTCTTCTTCTGATCCTTCAGTATACTGTAGAATCATTTATTTTCGAGGGTTAAAATTTCATAGTTTTCATATACTTAATAGCCTGTTTCAAGGACATTTTATTTCGCTGATTTCTGATTTTCCCCTATCTACATCATACCAAATTATGTTTTCGTGGGGATTTAATTTCGTGGATTTTTTATTATCCACTATTTTTTTTTTAGAAAAAAATAATGTCCCACTAAAATTAATTATTTTACAGTATATATATATATATATTTTTTTAAACTTCACAACCGGGATATATAAAATAAAGAAACTGTATTACAACAAATTTAGAAATAGGTTGAACCCAACATAAACATGCATACGTGTATGAGGTGCACATATATACTATAATATTTTCTAATTTTGAAGCAGGATTCAGATCAGAGAAGCGACTGTGAAAATGTCCAAAAGTCGCATCAGACTTACCAACAACAAGGAATCCCATGAGGTCGAGGGTACGTGTGACCTCATCCTGACCTTCGTCGAGGTATTTCTCGGGGTAGTTATCGACGCGGAGCCATGCCTGCTTCCTGTTCCTCTCCACGTGTACGGTGTGCCAGAAGTTGTTGTTCAGCGCGTTGGTGGATTTATACTCCAACACGTTGATACCGTTTCCATTGTTGTAGCTAAACCCAATCGTGTCACCGTCTGAAATATTCAAGTGGATTAATTTAGGACTGAGGCCAGTATCAATATGAACAAATTTCCTATTAATTAACATGCCCCCACCCCAATCCTGGCTTCCCATGGTCTTATAACACATTACTGCGATACATATTTCAGCTATATTTTAATTTTTTGCATCTTTCCACTTTAAACATTGCGCCAATCAAAATTTCTGTATATACTTTTAATCCATTGCAAAATAATATTGTGATTGTGCCAATTCATCAATGCACCTTAATCTATTAAATTTCAATAATATGCTAAAACATGTACCTTAACAGTAACATATTACACCGTATAGGGAGTTACAACTTTGAGTGATGTAAAACATTGTCATTCCCGTGCAATTTTGTCCTTTTTGCAGGAAATTTCGGCAATATCAACAGACTTGGAACTTTATTTACAGGAGACATATAAAGGATTTTCTTTTAGAAAATGGGTATCTTGAACCTTGGAAACATTGGCAGTAAGCAAGGTGCCAAATGAAATGCAAGGCATTATTACTGAGGTTTTAGACAGTATACATACTGAACAGTCGAACTTGGATGAAGTCAGCGTTGCCATCTAGTGAACTTCCAATGTTGTGAATGATAACACCATCCATGGCCGTCGTTTTAAACTGGAACCAAATATCTCCAGATGGTTCGGCCTCGAAGGTAGCCAGCTTGATGGTAGCGTCTGCCTTACGGAATGTAATCACGTTGTCAAGGAGATCTGAAAAGAACACATTCAAGTTGTCAGAACTCAAACTCAACAAGAAACCAAACCAACAAACATGTATTTTTCAATCTATGAATTTAAAACTGAATCTCATATATTTTACTAATATTTCCTCCCACTTTGGAGCTCATTACGGCTCAATTTAAACAGAAAGTCTATCTTAGTACACGTTAACTAGCCAGAATTTCAACTCAAATCTACAGGTGCCCTGGGCCCTGGCTTGATCCACCACAGTTTGTTCTTGGGTAAGAGTTTTCATGTATTTTCAATGTATTTGTGTCAAGAAGATTTCTAGTGATACATTCCAGACTTAATCAGTCCTTGGTACATTTTAACAAAATTTGACAGCAATGAAATCTACCGCCACTTTACTTACTGTCTCCCTGGCAGATGAGTGGCCCAACTTTGTGAAAACCAAGCCTGTTGTCCGTTGTTGTACCAGTGTCACCAAAATGAAGCTCCAGGACTGGAAGGTACTCCTTGTGGACCAGCTGACCGCTGTCCGAGGTGGACAGGCCCGAGTCACAGTTACAGGTGGCCAGTCCTCCAGTGCAGCCCTTCTCAGTCAGGCCACAGTAACATTTGTCCGACCCTGGGGCTGCCCCTCCCCAGTAGTACATGGGCTGGAACGTCCGCCCCACCCACCAAGCATAATGCAGTTCAGGAGAATCGTCTGGTAAAATAAAAGATTGAAACAGTAAGGTATTGCTCATGTAGGTCCACTTCTTTAACTCATTCACCCCTGAAGACACATTTGAACTCTTCCAATTCAAAGGTTGGGACAGTTCATTATGAAATTTCAGGGGTGAATCATTTAAGCACCTCAATACCAACTACCCAATCAACAGAACAAGTGATGTCAGTGCCAAGGAAAAGACTTTGTACAGCAAAATTACGTAAACTTTCAGATGGATAGATTAAGTTTCAATTATTTCTGTTCAGCTAAGATCTTAGAAGTGAATGTTTGCTATGTTTTACAGACCTATAATTAAGTAATTAATTTAAACAGTACAAATAAGATGATAAAGTAACAGAAACACAATTCTTCCAATTCAAAGGTTGGGACAGTTCATTATGAAATTTCAGGGGTGAATCATTTAAGCACCTCAATACCAACTACCCAATCAACAGAACAAGTGATGTCAGTGCCAAGGAAAAGACTTTGTACAGCAAAATTACGTAAACTTTCAGATGGATAGATTAAGTTTCAATTATTTCTGTTCAGCTAAGATCTTAGAAGTGAATGTTTGCTATGTTTTACAGACCTATAATTAAGTAACTAATTTAATCAGTACACAGTACAAATAAGATGATAAAGTAACAGAAATAAAATTCTGTTCGCTTACAAGTGATACTTTCATTTTCAGTTTAACACCGCTACTCTAAGATTGAGAAACTACATAACATTTTGCTTGTATATATCTTCAGGATTTGAATATAATTAGCCTGTGTCAGTTATTCATTCTGATCACCAGGATATTCTACTAACCCGGGAAGAATAGTGAACAAGTTAATATCAAGTTGATCAAATTTAAAAATTAACATGTTTAAAATATCACATCTCTTACAGAGTTAATTGTGTAGACTCGGTCTGCTACATATTAACCCTTTTACCACTGTAGACCATAATGGACTCATCCAGATCAGTGCATGGTAGAGTCTACTAAAGTTGCACAGGGTTGAAAGGGTTAAATAGATCTGAAGAGTTAACCTACTTGGTTTGGCCAGGAGCCGAGAGTTGTTACACTTGTAGTCAATAGTCTGATGGCAGCTGACCGCCCGATCAATGACCTCGGTCAGTTCGTCAATGGACGCTGCAGTGTAGCCAATCTTACGGACGTAATAGTTGGGTGCCTGGTAACCATCCACGCGGATATCTTCTTCACTGTCGTGGCCAACCCACGTCTCCACAGGTTTGCCCACCTCATCTGTAACAATTCAAACCCAACTGTTAAGTTTACAAAGTCTCCATGGTAACACACCTATAAACAGTGAATCCTGACCGAATTTGACTTAGAGAACACACGATTATTAATCCCACTTCAAAAAAATTCATGAAACGGTGGTTTCTCTCAAAACGTGTCAGTCTATAAAGACCTACTGACTATAAGGGAAGTTTCATCACCTTGGTGGGTCTAATATCGACAAGCTCTGACTGTCCATCATATTTATGGTCTCAGTGTTGCTAAAACTTTGAATTGTAGACTTGTTATTAAGATCTCTAAAAATATCAATAATTTTCATACATAGATTTTATTCCTCTTGGGAGTTATTTACAATGAAAACGGAAAATAATTACTTTTTAAACACAAAACCTTTTAATATTATGAAAGTACGGCTGTTGTAAGACATCGTCACTCTTACTTTAGAAATTACACATTTGACAAACATGTATGAGTGTAAATAACACTTACTTTTGCCGTTGCACTGCACCTTAAATGGCTTAAGGGGCCCTGATCCGTCAGGGTCAATTATAGCTGGCTCGAGTCCGTCATTCTTTGTGTACATCTTGTACATCTCACAGGAGAGGTAATAGGATGCTGTAATGGTAAATTAGAAATATAACACAGTGTTAACACACTGACAAAATATACCAGTGTCAACACGTCAAAATATACCAGTGTAAACACACTGACAGAATATACCAGTGTCAACATACTGACAAAATACACCAGTGTCAACACAATGACAAAATATACCAGTAACAACACACTGACAAAATATACCAGTGTCGACACGCAGAAAAAACATGTTCTTCTGGTAGTATACTTACAGATGTGACACACCTCGCCGGTGTAGCCAGACTCCTGGCAGTCACAGTTGAAATTGCTCCAATCCTGTGTACAGATTCCGTCGTGTTCACACGGGTTGGGAGTACACCTGAATTACACACACAAGTTATTGGTATTTTATCGGTGTATAAAACTTCAAACTTGTTCACAATATATACAACTGTTATGAAATGAGTTCGATGAGGTTTACAAATTTGGTATGAATTGGAAACAGGGTTGAGATTCCTTTTATCATAATTATGACATCATCGTATTGTTTCTTGCATTTTGAATTAGCAACATAGCAACCTTACTATACCATGGTTTCAGTCTCACTTAAATCTAAACCAAATACAAAATAAGATGGAACCTGTCCAGTATAAATTACTTTTTTGTTTGAAGCCTTTTATTAATTTAAGTTTCTCCAGTTTTAAGACAGTGAAAAATTATCCAAACCATTTCGACAATTCATACATGATATTTCACTTGTATTCCTAAATCATCCCATAAAATATCAGGTAGGTTTGAGGAATAAAGTAAATTACTAACGTTTTATCTAGTTTTTAGGAAAACTGTTCTGCAAATATTTTTGGGACCAAAGCAAAATATCAGGAAACTTCGGTTTCTTTAAAACCACAGAGTTATCAGTCACATTGTAAACCAAACCACTGCAGCCAGTCACTGAACTGACCAGCGGTCAGTTATACTGACCTGTCAACAAGTCCACATGTCCCGATCTCCACATCCTTCAGGTCAGCTGAAGAAATGTCATTGATATTCACTGGCGTGACGTCAATGTCGATAGATCTCATGCAGCCACGGAAACTAATTCCCAGTGTGTAGCCACCTAGTGAAGATATACAATAAATATTTATAAAAAAATCTTCAAACTGACGACCTTTCCCTCTTGAAAGGTAATGGTTTTCCCCGATTGTCTGTGAAATCCCCCATTGTTTGAAATTTCACCTCTTGAATCAATGGGAGTCATGATTTCTTCTTTACTCATTCACCCCTGAAGACACATTTGGACTCTTCAAATTCAAAGGTTGGAATAGTTCATTTATGAAATTTCAGGGGTGAATGAGTTGATGGCAGTGATTTCCTCTAATGATCAAGAAAACAAAAATCGAGTGATTTTTCCAATTATTTCAAAATATTTGTGATAAAATCAATGTAAAAACCAACTACCTCCCTTAAATGTTTTTTTCAAATATGACATTTCTTTTTAATATTGCATGTACAAATTTTGATAATTACCAAGATAATACGTAGAACCAGCCGATACGGTGAGACTTCGCCGGGAGACCTTGGCATTTCGATCGACCGTGATGTTCAACATCTGTTGGTTGGCATGCAGCTGGAATGTGTGCCACAACCCGTCGGCAAAACCTTCAGATCTGGCGTCAAGTGCAGCTGAAAAAGAAATATCATAAAGAGTGTTAGCATGGTTATTCCACTTCAAATAGAACTTCCAATCAGAACGAAAACCTGCATCAAAGCATGCCCCATGGGATATGGTTTGTAGGTTAGGCTAAATATTTAAATGAATTCCTGTTTTGAGTGGTTCATCACGAAATTTTGTTCAAAATTAATTATTCTTATATAAACAAAAGGTCTGTAATACATTTTAGCAACCATGTCAAGAATGAAACATATTTTATCTTAATTACAGGTTTCTTGTGTTACCATTGAGGACACTGTCACATACCAGAATGTGCTGAAAATAGATCTCACTTAAAAGACACATTCTGATAGTACTTTGTGTTATTAGTGTAAAATTTACACCTTTTTACCTTTGTGACAATTATGATAAAATATCTTATTACGAAGAAAGGAATCTAATCCCAACCATCCAAAAACTTTCCACTAGAGACTATAATTCAAACTATATAATATTTCATTCCGCTGAATTGAAGAGACAGAATATAATCTGGACCATTATTGGGGATTTGGCTGGGATCCCGGTGACACTGAGCTAGGATCTGAATGGTGTTTCACTGTGATCCTGGCGGAATTTCACAAAGAAATTCTGGAGAATATCCTGGTGACATTCTGTTGGATTCCAGCACATTCCCACATTATGTGTTTCCCTTGTTACATCAAAGTTTCACTTTTGGTGACTGTACGTAAGACAAGACGACTGTCTTGAATACATGTACCAGAACAGCCAGTAACAAAATGTGTTACGTACATGGTAGCTGTATACTTACTGTTACGAACCATATCCTCGATGATCTGATTGTCCTTGGTGATAAGTTTGTAGGTCACATACCCAATATCATCCAGCTTAACCTGTTGGTCAACACAAAACCATTTCAATCACACACTGCAAAGGTCATCATTCATCACATCTATATATATACTTAATCCCATTTTTCTAAAATTCCTATAGAATTTTCCTGAATTTCTACAGAAATTTGTTATTAAGATGAATTAAACCAATTTACTTAAGCTCGATTTTTGTTTTTAAAACTCCATTGTCAAATCGATAATATTGAGATAAATTAAAGACAATGAATATGAAGCATCAGCATTGATGTTCCGAGACTTAATTGCTTTCATTATAATTTACCATCCAGATTTTATTGGTCTGGAAGCAAACATGAAAGTATCTATTGTAACATTTTTTATTATAAATCTTTTAATGATGAATAATTACTGATCAACTCATTCCCCCCTGAAATTTCATGATGAACTAGTCCAACCTTTGAATTGGAAGAGTTCAAATGTGTCTTCAGTGGTGAATGAGTTAATAAATGTTAATAGTCTAAATCTGGTCTGTTTCAAAATAATAATAATCAAAGAAATTATATTCCATTTCTCAGCTTTAATATCCCAACAATTAAGGTTTAACGTGGAGGTTAATTTAACCCTAACTTTGAAATATGGTGTCTTGGGGAGTTATTTCTACCCCTGTATAGCATCATGCAATAACTGACATTCACCTTTATTGATCCGCCATCCTCCATATCGTGGTGGAGGAGAATGCCATCTTCGTCATGGGTACGGAAATCAAACTTGATACGAATGGCACCACCTGCATCAAATCCTCTCAGCACAGCATACGAGTCAAACGTGAAGAAAGTCATGGGGATGGGTGCAGTAAACTGAATTATACAAGGTTAAAGACTAACCTCAACCATCACAATTCAAAGGTCAACAGAAAACATGTAAAAATTCCTCAAGTAAAATAGAATGGCTTGAATTAATTTATATTAACCCTTTCACCCCTATGTAACTTTAGTAGACTCTACCATGAGTTGATATGGATGAGTCTATTATGGTTTACAGTGGTGAAAGGGTTAAGACAAAAATTAATGTATTAGATAGGGAATGACTGTGATAAGTTCGCCGTTAGTTTTTAATAATTCCACAGAAATGACTTTTATTTTCTCAATTTGAAATTTCACTGGCCCTTGTCCTCAAAATGTAAAATAATTGTAGATTTTCTTTTTTTGGATCAGCAATTTACATGAAAAAAATCTCAGGAAAAAAAAGAAATGGGATAAAGGTAACCTGGGGACCCTTAACCGACCATTGACCTTTAACCTACTTTGCAGTTCCAGGGGTCAGGTACTGATCCAACCATTTGATATCCACTTTGTCCTGCCTGCGCGTCACGAATAATCTTGAGACTGTTGAACACAACGTTTTCCAGACAACCTGCGAAGTTGGTCTTCACAGTTATACCTTTCTGGTCAAAACTTGGGACGCCTCCAATGAAGATCTAAAAGATACAAGATTAACAGTTTAATATGACAGAAATTTAAATTTTCAGAGACATGAATATTCACATATTTCCTACTGCGAGAAAAAAATCTAATTAATTGTCGATGCGTATTAATGTGCTTTATACCAAGACGTCCACTGATTGAAACATGGCATTATTTTACAACAAACATGGCACTTTTCATATTCCCATCTCACATAATTGATTTGAAATGGGACAACATTAGATTTTCAAAAAGGTTTTGGATGATAACAAACTTGTTATAAGGTTTAAATAGAGATTGTCTCAAGATGAATTGGTTCCCAGGACATCCCTTCTATTATTTGGGTATTTGCAGATAGTATGGACTCGGGTCGCATGTTTGAATTTCATGGTTTGATCTATTATCTAACACTTGGTTAAGAAATTGATTCAACATTTATGACACTTGTATGACTATAAACTACCCAACACAATTTGAATGCCCCTTATGGTAAGATTTGTCCTGTGTTCTTAATTACCAGCACACCTAGCTTACGGTGTTTAAATCTGATCCTATCACCCCATAACAACTTGAATCTGTGCTACTGAAGCATGTACCTTCTTGTCGACATTGAGTCGGTAGAATGCTCCTTTGGTTTCAAAACGTGTCTCCATTCTGTCCACAATCAGCATCATGTTTGTTCGATTTCGTCGTATAATGATGTCGTGCCATTGGCTGTCATCAAGCATGTTGCCGCCCAATTCGTTGGTGGCCCCAGCAACTTTCATAGTGGAACCTGGACAGCCAATCAGAAAAGTGTTGTATTATACAAAAGAACCAATCAAAACGATTGTAACAAAAATTGGAATGCAAATTTTCAAAACATCTGAAACAAACTTTAAAGATATTTTAGAGAATTAATTTTACAAATCTTCCAACAGTAACAGGCTATAAACCCAGAGTAATTGACGAAAAGAAAAATATTCAATATTTTTTGAAATAATGTGCTTCAATCAAAAGCAAATAATAATTTGTATGATTTCAGCTTATTATCTTGGAAGGCACCTAAAATCACCTCAATTCATGACAACAGTTCTTATTTCATATAACTGATTTACATAATAAGTTCAGTTTTACCTAAATCTATGTGGAAAAGAAGTGTTCCTCCAGACAGTTCGAGGGACATGTAATCGCCTTGGTTACCGTCAGCGAACATAATGACACCATCTTGTTTGTTGGTTTTGAATCGGAGTTTAATGTTGTCCTCGACGCTGCTTGGTGGAGGAACCTGCGTGCTTAGGTCGTAACTGATATAGCTTGTACCTCCGTCGAACCGGACCGTCTGTGAAGCTGATAAAGAAAGTCAGTTTTATTGATGTATCTTCTTGACTCGAAAGTATTAAATATGAAAGAATTTGGACATGCATAAAACTTCAGCAAAGGACTTGGGTTGTGAGTATACCAGGTAAAGTTCATTAAAATCTCTTAATTCTTTAAAAAAATATTGACTGGAACAAATGATATGTGGTGATTGACAAATTAATCCCCATATGTTGCCTCACAGGTACATTGGAATTCACCAGACATTAAAAAGAGTGTTATTTTGATTTCCGGTAAAGCTAAGCGAAACTTTCGATGACTGCATAAATATTTACAGGTCATTCAGGCTTTATTTCACATTAAAAAGAACCAAAGATGTCATTTTGCATAGAGAGATTTTTTGGACGGAGACGGAGAAAAAACAAGTGTAAATATGTTTGTAGTCCAAAACAAACTTGACAATTAAGCTCTTGAAGGTTGAGACATTGTTGTAAAAACATGTCGATTGCTGACATTATCAGCATGAATCTCTGCATTAAAATAATATTTGTTTTACAAACATTTGTCATCTGCATCGATAGAAACCGATGATGTCACTTCATTTGTTGATTTTGAGCATTAAACTCTACGCAAGCTGTCGATAATCTGTACATATCATTAATGATCAATGGTGTTGTTGTTCTTCCCAGAACAGGACTAACAAAAAAAATGACAAATAAAGGGTCCCAAAGCTGGTTTTATCACTTACTGTAGGGACAGCCTTGAACTTCCACTCTCATGGAGATGACCATATTCCAGCGTGACGGATGGAAACGGACATAGCGGGCCACAACGGGGTACTTCAGAGTGTTGGTCTTCACCATGTCTCCATTGCTGTTTCCAATGAACATCTATAACCAAACAAATAAGGAGATGCAGTTTATTAAAATCGAACAGAATTCTGTCCTATTAATGACATTTGATTATCTATGACAACAATAAAGAACCAAAACATCGAAATAACACAGGGTTAATCCAACTTCATTTTTGTTGAATTTTACAAAAAACTGTCAGAACTTTACACTTTTATGACCATCAACTATATTCTAACAGGGAATGTATTTTTTTTTTTCATATCAACAGTCATTCTAGTTCCAGGCTTTCTGACTAAGCCCTTCCTCAGGGAGTGAATGGTCTTCACATTAAATGTTCAGTGGGTTTTTTAACCTGAGTTTTACGACAGCCTGTTCCTTTTTGAATTGGAAAAAATATAGCATTATTTGCATTTAAGATTGGGAATATATTCCTCAAACTAAGACACTTTTTAGCTAGGGGAAACAGACCTTATTCGCCTGTTAAACTGATCAAAAAACAATACTGATATTGCATACATATCTCAAAACAGGGAGTTTAAATTTGAGTCCTAAATAAATTAATATAGAACATGGACTGCATGATCACGATATCATACCTTGTAATGTTATCTTTACATTTGAACTATTTCCCCAAGGCCAAAGTCTGAAGGAAATACTTCACCAGATTAACCCGAACATAAAAGTAAAACTGTTGATCTTACTGTTTCATGAAATGGTTTAATGATCACAATTCCTTTTACGTACTTCTCTGATACCAAACTCGTTGGAGTAGAACCGCCATGTTGTACGATCGACGGAGAAGGACAGCATGAACTCTGTAACATATTCATCAGTTCCCTGTCTGCCCTGGGTCTGGAGCCGTGTCAGCAAGTAGTCGCGCCCCAAATCTACCCCGAGGTACTGTGCAGAGTTCTGAACCTTGGATGTCCAGGATCCTTGAAAAAATCAAAATTATGTTACAATGTCAGAAAATGTTTGACAATTTTAAGCTCCTCAAAAATTTTGCGAAGAATGTTTTGCCTGAAACATTCTGAATATTTTTTTTAATTTTTGATTAAAAAAATGTTTTCAAAAGAAAATAATTATTTCCAAAATACCAATTAAATGTCCGAAAATGTGACAAAGCACACGATATATATGCACATTTTAAATTTTACTTAAAATCGCTTTTTTCTTCTTCCCTTTTTAACTAAAATATACCTGCAGTTTCCATGAGCCTTCCCCGAGTAGGAAGCCTGATTTTGCTGGCTGAAGACGAAGCCCATAGATTGCCATCAGGAATCCTTGACCCGCTATCCACTCCAATACCAATTGGACCGCCATCTAAGCAGTCCATGTCACGGAATGGTGTTTCTGGAATGACGGAAAGATTGGTCAGCATATATTGATCAACATTTATAACAAAGTAAAAAAAAAATATAGTCAAATTATATAAAGATTCTGTCAAGTGTATTCAGAGTAAGTAATTCAAATGACCCAAAATGGTTCTTGTTTTTTTTTATTCATTCTCAATTTCATCAATTGGTTCTGCATTTGAACGAAATCCCATGCATGCACCCTCCCACACACACACAAACTGATAAACCTGAAACCTCTTACTCAGGATTGATAAGTAATAAGGCAGAACTTAGAGTTAAAACTATGCATAAAATTAATTTTTGGATAAAACTTTGTTGTACAGTGTATGATATTGTGGGAAACGTATTGTGATTTGTAGTCAGGTCCAGTACACTGTTAAAACTGTGTCCATATATATCTATATTTTAAATATAGCTCATTTTCACATGCTTTTCTTTCTAAAAGAACAACACAATAGTGTTTGGAATCTGGGTTGAAATTGTATGATCAATCACCTGTAATTACCATTTAACAGCAACTGATATGATCAATTAATAATTGTTATCAAAACAACACATCCTTAATTAATCTTCCATATGATGTTGTTGCATTAAGTTGCTTATAGTAAATAAAAGTAATACAGACAATGTATATAAGAAATACCTTCCTGTAAGTTATAGTCCTTACAAGTATATGAGTCTGAGCAGGTGGTAAAAAATATCAGGAGAATTCTTCTACTTAAAACCCTTGTTATATATGTAGTTTCTAACAAGGAGATAGAAATTATGAATTATGTTAATAAAAACTCTATAATATCTGCACACAATTATAACAACTAAAATCAATCATGAATTTTGAAGTTGATTTAGTTGGTAATCAGTTAATTGGATTTTTTTCTGGTACAATTCTCCAAACGACTCGATCATGTTAAAACCGAGTCACAATAAGGCCCCATAACATATATATACTTGTTTGTTTGTGTTTAACAGCTCAACAACGGCTGAGGTCATTTAGGGCCATGGTGATTTTTTTTTTTAATAAACATGTGAGTAGCGAAGATAAAATCACAGGAGTCTGACGTTTAATCAATATAAGTATAACAGTTTATATATAAAAAATACCTTGTATACTATAAAAAAATATATAGTATACAGGATATTTTTTTATATATAGACTGTTATACTTATATTGATTAAACGTCACACTCCTGTGATAAAATCAGATATAAATGTTCATTTTAAAAGCATTCGCATTGTATGTGTAGATAATTAAATAAAAAGGGGTTAAAAAAAATAACAGAGATAACGAATAGATGATATGGAATATGTGATATACATGTATATAACGTCAAAGAGGGAAAGGTGGGTTAAAAGACATCAGAGTCTATAGAATAGACCGATGTCTTTCAAATAGTTAAATAATGCCTCAGAGTCAACGGAACTGAAAAGAGTTTTCATATCTGTACGTGTTTACATATTCTACCCTTTCTCAACCAATGGAAGTATATGGACAAATTCACGTGCCTTTTCCGCCAACGACAGTAGAATGTGTTATATTTAATCATAAAAAGGAAATACATTCGTTCCAATATTAAGATAAAACGGAAAAATATACACCACTTCCGCTATTTATGAATCAAAACACTTTCCGCCATTTTGAACTGAAGATGAATTCGGGTCAACACCCAGATGTGCAGTTTACCTGCATACAGGTACGCACATCTAACGATTCCTTAAATAATGGTATGCCACCGACAATTTATCATTTTACTTACTGTCTCTTTCATATCCGTAACATATTTGGCAAGTTATTGCCAGAAATAAAATTAAGCGTCTCATACGCGCCATGGCAAGCGCAGGTGTGTTTTGCAAGGATTCCGTCCCTTTACCTGGGACCACGTGACACGGAATACCAATTTGATTGGATTGACAAAATGAGTCATTCAACATATTTATGCCATTCATCAGAATGTCAACATCGTATACAATAATCATATACACCGCCAGGGATATATAGCCGTAATATCACCATCCTAATCGATAGACATTTAATTAAGAACAATATAAAATCTGTAAAAGTGTTTAAAAAATGATATTTGTTTGCACTATTTTATAGTTACAAAAGAGTATAGAATGCAAATGATAATTACAGTTATTTTTTTATAAGCTTATCGTTTGTATTTGTTCCCCACAAAAATCGTATAAAGTGGATTTTTTTCTGTATCTAATTTTGAACTGACATTTTACATCGACAAAATGATTCGAACAAATTAGAAAAAAAAGTTTGCCATGCAGGTAACCTCGCAATTAGAGACGTACAATTTTAACATAATATTACTAGTGTTAAAAAATGTAATGAATCGTTTTAAATAGTATGTCATATATCTAAAAATAACTCTGCACATATACATATGTTGAATGATTTGAATATATGTTCATATATCAAAGACACAGAAACTGTATCAAATACACTTTTACTCGCGCGTTTGTTTAAACTTGTATATTGGTTGATTCAGAGACTTACATACGACAGTTGATTCAGAGACTTACATACGACAGTTGATTAAGAGATTTACATGCGACAGTTGATTCAGAGACTTACATACGACAGTTGATTCAGAGACTTACATACGACAGTTGATTAAGAGATTTACATGCGACAGTTGATTCAGGGACTTACATACGACAGTTGATTCAGAGACTTACATACGACAGTTGATTAAGAGATTTACATGCGACAGTTGATTCAGGGACTTACATACGACAGTTGATTCAGAGACTTATATACGAAAGTTGATTCAGAGACTTACATACGGCAGTTGATTCAGAGACTTACATACGACAGTTGATTTAGAGATTTACATACGACAGTTGATTCAGAGACTTACATACGACAGTTCATTTAGAGATTTACATACGACAGTTGATTCAGAGATTTACATACGACAGTTGATTCAGAGACTTTCATACGACAGTTGATTCAGAGACTTACATACGACAGTTGATTCAGGGACTTACATACGACAGTTTCATTGCAAGCATAGCAAAAACAAAATCTGTATCTCATAAAATAAAGCGTGTCAACGCTATAAGCTTATCGTTATTTAACTTTTTTTCCACGAAAATCTTATGAAGGTGATTTTCTGTATTTAATTTTAATCTGACTTTTTACATTTTTCAACAACACAATGATTCGAACAATTAATTATCTAAAAGTTGAAGACGATCATGTTAGACTCTGTTAGCCTCCTCGAATAGCTTTCGTTGTGTGTTGATTGGGGATCATGGCACAAGTATAGTATATGTGTGTCCCTCCACTTTGTATAAAGGAATACCATATAACATATTGTCAATTCTGGTCCTTTGAAGTATATGCTGGTGTTTGACTGGAATAACAAAAACACTACACTATATTATGGTATATTATAGTTCATGATTCGATGGTATTAAGCCTAAAGTTAATATCAACTAAGCACCATTTCTTTGTTGTGTTTTTAGTGTATAAAATTGGCGGGCTACTAGATGGTTTGAGCTCATAATTTTAATTTTAGCTCAAGAACGGTTTTTGTAAATACGTACGGGCCGTTTTCGTATATATCTGAAAAAAATAATGAAAATAAAGATTGTACGCACGATGCGTAATGTAAACTACATATGATTACACTGCTACCAATTACTATCCTCTGTTTCTTGTCCGTAGCTGTCAATCAAAACGACATGTTTGTATTAACCAATCAAAGGCAGGCCCACGTGCTTATCCCGCCCACAAAACTGACACGTGTGGATAGAAATGAAAATGACATGCGCAAACGTTTTCGCGCCGGTCGTCTGCGAAGAAGAAAAATCGATGGCCATTTAAAAAGTTTTGCTTTTATGAAAATTCAAAACGCAGGAAATTATAGACGTTGCAGAAACAAGAAAAAAATGAAAAGGAAGAAAATATAAAAACAGTAGTAAGTAAATCAAGCCATTTACAATAAATACATGATTATAATAATTAACTAACATATTCCAATTATTCTCATGCGAGTTGTTCCTTTCGGTTCTGCTCTTATAACTACATTTATCAAACACTAATCTTGACCAGGAACCGTCTATCTTCAAATCGAGATGATCTTTATTATTGTGGCAATATAATTCCACAAAAAATGTCAAAATCCGGTCATTTTAAAGTACAATATTAAACTTAATTACATCAGAAGTTTTTCGGTTGAGACCTTTAACGGTTTTTGTGAATACAGGCCGTTTTCATATATATCTGAAAATCGCTGGTCAAACTGAATATAAATAAATGATAATTGTACGCAACGATGCGTGATTTAAACCACAAAGAAATGACGCCTCCTCACCACTTCGAAATTCTGATTACATTGTTACCAATTACCATCCTCTGTTTCTTGTCCGTAGCTGTCAATCAAAACGAAATGTTTGTATTAACCAATCAAAGGCAAACCCACGTGCCTATACCGCCCACAAAACTGACACGTGTGGTAGAGATGAAATGGACACGCGCAAACGTTTTCACGCTGGTCCGTCAGGCTATCGAATCGACGGCCATTTAAAAAGTTTTGCTATTATTTAAATTCAAAAAGCAGGAAATTGGAGACGTTGCAGAAACAAGAAAAAAATGAAAAGGAAGAAAATATCAAAACTGCAGTAAGTTTTCAAAAGTCATTTACAATATATTCTCATGCGGGTTGTTCAATTAATTCTGTTTTGAGGATGTTGCTTTCGATTCTGTCACAATGTTTTAGTGTGTCAATGCTTTGAGTTTAACTCAGTTCATTTGAAAGGAAAGTTCCCAAACGTTTGAAGTTTTAGGTGGGTTTTTTCCGCTGCCCACAAAACTGACACGCGTCGATAAAAACGAAATATGAAATGTACATGCTAATAAATACGAAATTCACGCTTGTCCTGTCGTCTGCGGCGCAGAAATCCACAGCCATTTAACGGTCTGTTATTCTGAGAATTCAAAATTTGCACGTAAGAAAGAGTTAAATAGATGAAAAGAAAATCAAAACAGCAGTACTTTATTATAGCTATTTTTATTTATTTTTTTTATTTATGCTTGCTTGTTATGTTTCTCTTAAATGTTGAATTGTTGTCTATTTTCATGTTTTATAGTCGGTTGTAAATGCCTTTAACAGACTTGTGCTATCATGTTAAACCATGTACCGACTTGTAAATTATTTTTTCTTGACTTGAATTGCATTCCTTTTGTTTGGATGATTTGTTTTGTACTTATTGTTTTTTCAACCATTTTACCTACAAAGATAACATTTGAATATTTTTGAGCGGTATACGCGATAAATGGCGGCGAACAACCATTGTTTCCCCCTATACATTGTTAAATATGTTTGACTTCTGTTGCAGCTAAGTTATTGATGTTGAATATTTTTGACTTCTGTTGTAGCTAAGTTATTGATGTTGAATGTGTTTGACTTCTGTTGTAGCTAAGTTATTGAGATGGCCATTCCTGTGTGGCCTCTAACGATCCCTAGACAGACTTTATTTCTATATACATGATTTACCACTTACCTTACATCTACAGTGCGATCTTTTTGCAGACGTCGCCGCCACGTAATACGCCTTAGAGTAATTTTGTAAATTATATCGGCCCTTTAAAAAGGTCGAATATTATATGATCATATACTTCGCGGTAAGTAGTCTACAAGATGCAAATAAGCTTCAGAAAAACTTGAACAGATAACATGAATGGGAAAAAAGTTCCGATATGGGTTCAACCCCTAGTGCCAGCACCAAGTCAAAGATGCCACTCACCAGTGTATAAGCTACATGGGCAAGTAGAATCTACCCCATATGCTAAATACCTTTGTGTAACCGTTTCATCAAACTTGACATGGAATAAGCACATTCAAAACGTAAGTAGCCAAGCAAACAGAACTTTAGGATACATAATACAGCCGTCACACCGGACTGGCGTCCCTACGGCGACCCAGGACGTGGAAGGGACGCCATGGACGCCGTAGGGTCGTGGTGAGAATGCATCAAGACGCCGTGGGGACGCCAAGGACGCCGAAGGTCGCAGAGCGACGGCGTTTACTTTGGACATGTTCAAAGTAAATGCCGAGGTTTGGCGTCCTGAGCGCGTCCTGGCTCAGGACGCCGTGGGATCGCCCTGAGGTCGCCATGGTCGCCGTAGCATCGCAGTAGGAACCCGAACAACGCCAAAGGAACGTAGTACAGACGTGGTAGAGTCGCCATGTAAACGCGGAGAAAAGGATCGGGGGAACAAATGGCGACCTTACTGCGTCCTTACCACGTCTATGTGGTTCTTACCACGACCCCATCACGTCTATGGCGTCCTTACCGCGATGTCAGGGCGGATATTTCGGGATTTGAGCCGCTGGGTCGCCCTGCAGTCGCCGTGGGAACGCCATGCACGCGGTAAGGTCGTGGTAGAAACGCTAAGAACGCAGTGGGGTCGCAGTGGGGTCGCCGCTGATCGCCGTATGGACGCCGCAGTGACGCCGTGTAAACTCAATAGAAACTCCAAGGACGCAGTAAGAACGCGGTAAGGTCGTGTTGGGAACGCCGTGTACATACACAGATCGCAGAGCATAGAACTCCGGTGGTACGGCTGACTCGAAATCTGGATTTATTTTAGAAAAATCATTGGCGTTCTCAATGCGACCATCGGCGTTCTCCAAAATATGACAGTTTCGGACGCGGTAAGGACGCCAGTCCGGTGTGACGGCAGTATTACTAGTAAAAGGTAAAGGCTGCAGCCTACAAGGCAATATTAGTACGTCCAAAAATAACGCCACGCTACCACAATCGGTACGCTGCCCAAATTGGTACACAGTCAGAAAATGGCTCGGATAGTACTTTAAATTTAAAGTTGAGCATTTTCCCTCTGATAGTATAACAAGAGA